CGTTCATCAAAAAACATTTTCTCCATACTTCAATGCAATGTTTACATAAAAAACCGTTCGAATTATTCGATAATACTGTATTTTATTTAGAATTCAATTCGTGATTCAACCAACATGAACAAGACTTATCTGCTATTAATTATTTATAATACTTTGCAATTTTTGCAATGCATGAGGGTTTTCTTATTAGACAGAGGCTTCGAATGGGACGTGTTAAAACGGTCAGTTTTCTGCAATGATGGACAAATAATTTCCATCAAAATAGGTAAAGATGCTTGCTTGCTTGTACGATGCTATAAAAGTTGATAAAGTTGCAATCACGCGCATTGACCTTTCAATCAAGAAGATTTATAAAATACCATCTGAACTAAAGCTCATCGATTGTCATCTCCATCGGGTGATTAATTACCTACACGGCTGTTACAATAATTGAACCAGTGGCAGTGACAATCAGAAGTGATGTAAAACTACGCTTGTGTCGCCACTTCATCCGTGAGAGAGCACACATATCCATCGATTTCTGTAACCCTCGCGGACGCAAAAAACCAACCCACTGGCATCGAAAACAAAGATGATAACATACAAAACTCTTGTTCATGTGTTTGTACGACAATTTCGATGTCGTTAACCTCAAAGACGCCCAAACCGCGTTGTCTAACGTCTTAAAAAAAGACCAAAGCGAAATAGTCGACAAAAAAACAGAATACAGTTATTTCGGAGACATACAACTAGTAATTATCATTTTATATTGGTTTAAGAACAAAAAACTTGCTGTCGGATAAAATGTGGATTTATGATGAATTATTTTTTTTTAAAGCACCCTCACCAAGGGAGCATCGGCTCGTCTAATTAGGTAATTGCTTATTATGCATGATCATTAACAATTTCGAAACTTCGTCGGAATCTTAGCTGGCGCATTCCATCAGGAAATTATCAAATTCTCTCTAGAGGTTACGACGAAATATTTGTTAATAGACAGATGCATGTCATCAAATAATTGACGCACATTATTAACGTCTGATAATAATCAAAACCAATTGGATTTCGTATAACAGTGTCACTACAAGATAATTTAATTAAATTTCGTAAGATAATAAATTCTTTATACGTAATTAAAAACTGTTTTAGTGGTAATCTGAAGTTTTTAAATTTATATTTCTCTTGGGAGGTTGAGAGTATACTTCTAACATGCACATCTAACAAGCTTAAAGCTGATTTCTCTGGTCTCGGCGGTCGCCGATGCTACACTCACGGTGATTTTATTATTTAAAGGCGTAATCGAAAATATTGTTTAAATAATTACACACTATTATTACATAAATATATGTCTACCGTATAACTTATCATCACACATACATGAGTAGGCGTATCAATCATTAATGAAGGCATTAAAAAAGGGTCGGTAATGACTTCTATTTCAATATTGATTCCACCGTCTCGTTTATTAAAAGTGCATACATAAATGCATGTATGTATACATACATATACTAAAATTCCAATATTCTAAGCGGATGTATGTGATAAAATGCATTCAAGCAGGTTTTCGTGGGAAGATAGAAGTAGTTTGCTTTTAGTTTTAACAAATAACCAGCAATCTTGGAAGAGTGCATTGATATTTAAAAAAAAAAAAGATAGAGTATCTAGGTGCAATGTGATTCAAAGTAAATTATTAATATTTTGATACAGCTGTAAATAAACAAAGAAAATGTTATAATGACTTGCATACAATGGGCTTAATTATTACGTCGTTCACACTGAAATGGGCCGTACTTAGGTCCACGGACAAAATTTAATAGGATAAGAACTATTAAGTCAACAAAGATCGATATGAGAAGCACATAAGTTCACATCTCGTTTTTCAAAAATAGTAGTTTAGCATCCTAAGTACACCCCTGATAATGACGTCATGTACGAACGACATTCGCTCCCTAGTAATAATGATTAAAAAGATTTTAAGGCATTTTCGAAAAGCTCGTTAAAAATTCCAAGAAAAGTTTTGCCGATTATGAAATTCGCCAACGGATCTTGTAAAGAATGCAATAAACACTTTAAAGGCATTTAATTACTGTCCTTTTAGAGAGAGACAGCCATTTTATAAGTATCAATATTTCCATTAGCACTCCAGGAATGGCAATATTTCAATTTCATTTGATTGAAATTGCTAGATACAAAAAGAAGCTACGACATTATTAAAATACAAGCGAACTGAAAAGAAAACTGACAAAAAAAAGATTGCCTCCGTACTCCTACTGTAATTTATGTAATATCCAATTCAGAAACTAAAAATTTAATTTAAAATTTTCTGCCAATAAAGTGAACTGTACACCGATGGTGGCAGCGTTTACTTTTCGCAAAATAACAAAAAAGGTGTGAAAGTGAAATTGAGTTTTCTTCACAGTCCATTAACTTTGTACACAGTGCAGCAGTTAACCGTTTCAACAGGGCATGTTACAATTAAAAAATACTTAAATATAAGAATAGCAATTGAATAGTTTTCTCAGTTGAAAATAAACATTAAATATGACTTTATTACTAGATTGTTATTGGTTATTTACGAATAGTAGCTGTATCTATATTATAAAAACAATTTCCTTATTCTCTTCTAAAATAAAGTCTTACTTCTGTTATTCGAAACTTTTTTACGAGATTTCGAAGGTAGATGTTTCAAAGAAAGTGTATTAAAAGGAAATACTACCTAAGATACATTTTTTTTTATATTAAAACATTTGAACTTTGACACAAGATGGAATAACTAAGTAGAAGTTAATGGAGTTCTTTAAAAACGAAAACTTCTTCCATTTGCATAATTTTCTGTAATAAGTGCTCCCTTATAAAATTGTAAGTGTTATCGACGTAAAAAAAATAAATAGGATAAAAATTGGCATTCCAGTTCCATTAATTGCTGTTTCAGTAATTGGTAATCTTTTTCTCGAAATTATTTTTACATAAAACCTTCGCAGTCTACTAAAAGTTCACCATTTGTAGTAGATACAAGGTAAAAGTACATCAGGCTTCTATTTAGATTTTCTTCCTTCCTAGTTAATTACGCTTTATTTGCAGTTAAAGAAAACAAAATGAGTCTAAACACTACATTACGTCTATTGCTCTATTCAAACTAAGGCTGTAATTACAAGTCCGCTGTTATCTTGAAAAAACTTGGATGAAGTTACTGATTTTATTTGCGTTATCTCCATTTACGAAAACGGATAAAATGAATGCGCCATGAGCGTAAACTCGTGGTGAAACATTTTGAATAAAATAAATTAATCGAACACTTAAACTGCTTCACAAATACATATGCCCTAATCGGGGTTTTGTCGTCCTTGTCACCACCTGCTCGTTCAGCATTCAAGAGCAATAAAAACTATAGTCGTGATATCCAAATTTTAAGAGTATAAAGTAAGGTAATAAACTTTATTAAGGAAAGAAATATAGCACAATGTTTTTTTTGCCGTTGTTGTGCAGGAACAAGGTTTAATTGCCAAATATTCAAACCACGCCGCCAAAGAAGTTCCTATAGGTACATATAAACGGTACAATTTAATAATTTAATTTCGTGCACCATTAGAGGCAATAACGAATTAATAAAATGTTGAAGGACAAACAAATATTGCAATCAGCAATGTATGAAAAATTAATATGAAAGCCAACGAATTTCGGTTAATGGAATCGTAACTCTACAAAGCTAATTAAATTATAAAGAAAATATCCACAAACCTTGTTATTAAATAAAAAAAAAGAGACCGCCCACGGGTTTTTGAAAAGCTTATTGGTATGATAACATTCCATTTACTACAAAATTATTATTAAAAAGTTAAATAGTATGGAAACTGCTCGACATGAATACAGTGTTTCATGTTTATTAGGTGTAAAGCTATGTAGTTATAAAGAGTAGAAGCTTAAATTGATACAGAAACTTTACTATAATATACCCTATAATTGCATTAACTTGTGCACAATGGGTAGCTTTTGAAATTGAAGACCACTGCGCGCTAAGGGCATCTTTCTTCCTATCCTTTTGTCGTAAAACCTTTTAATATGTAAATCAAGATTCTTATCTGTGCACCAGACTTACGTATACCTTCTAAACTGAAATTATCAATTTTCTCTTTTCTATTGTGCTAGATTCTTAGTTAGGGTTGAAATGCAATTTTAAGCACCACATTAAACTTATCTACCTCCCCCTCTATAAACATACATATACATGAACTTACTAAACAGAAAAATAATGGAATCCCAGGAGGTTACTCGTTTAACCCGTTCAGCAAAACGTAGTTGTTCCCGTTTAATTTGGGCGGCTGTCAGTTAGCGTCAGAAAAAAGTTTTTGTACGTAGTAAGATCAAATTCAGCAAAACATTAGCGAAAAAATTATTTAAACAATGAAAATTGCTTTTTTGGTCACACGGTAATCAAATCCTTTCAAAACGACTGTTTAATGTATTCCAGTATTTTGGCATTAAATAAACGACTCCGCGATGGTAGGTAGCAGCAGAACATTTAATTTCTCATTAAGGCACTTAATTTGCCTTTAATATAATCATTCTTGGTGTCTTTTTCAAAAACTGTTATACGTTTCGTAAGTGTTTCCAAAATTTTCTGCGAGTGTTTTTATGGACTCGGACTTGGGTATTTGAGCAACGTTAAAAAGGCGTCAGTGGTAATCACAATAAAATTTAAAAAATTACTTCGGATTTAGCTCAAAACTGACTCCAATTCAATTTAAACTTTTATTTCTAATAAATTATACTGTATTATTATTGGTTGTAAAAAAAAATTATACGGCGACTACTATACGGAGTTTATAATAATGTCAAGCGGCTTATGTTATAAAGTTAAAAGTTTCAAAGCTCCAGTTTATCAAGAATAAGTAGAAATGTTGTTTAAAAACTTTTTCCGGAACAACAGAAAAACTGAGTAGTAATAAATAACATTGGGAACTTTTTATGTAGCATGGATGTACCTATAAGGAGATGGTGATATGGAAAAAAAGGCAACTTACCGTAGGTACACAGGCGTAACTGGTGGAGATGAAATCGAGGCCCCGTTGTCCAGAACCATTGAAACAATTTCGTATGTTTTGCATAAACTTTCTTCGAATGGCTTTGAGTGAGTAGACGCACAGAGCAGAAAGGTCAGAGGGTTGATTGGAATGACTAGGATCACTTTCACTAAATACAGCATACAAAACGTCATCTTGGGCAGTGATGCCAAGATCACTGGCTAAGTCCGAACCTGGTTTGGCAACGTATGCGGCTTGCACTAAGTTATAATTCCTACCCCCTTGCAGGTCACTGGTACAATCGATCGGTATTTCGGTATACGAGTAATAATTTTCATCGTCCTGACAAACCCGCACCAATTTACTAACATACTGGCTCGAAATACTGTGTTTCATTTGAGTGGTCAAGAAATAACTAAAACCTTCCGAACTAAAACCGTAAACGTAATTAATGAGGTACCGTTCGCGAGCTAATGAATTTACAAACATTCGCGTTCCAGTGGTTACAGCCATTTGTGCGATTTGAAACATCTTATCCTTATCCAATGACCTACTGCTAACCGCTGGGATTTCGGAACGATAAGAAGATCCGGACGTTCCGAAACCCTCAGGTACTGTGTAAGTCACCCCCACATACATGACCTGCGTGACTGGAGGGTTGGGTGGCCCTGGGGCAATAAATGCTACCGTCGAAGCCGTTGCATTATTAGCTACAACAGCTTCTCGCACTTCTTGAGTACCATCCGAAATGTTATGCAAATTTCTGACCGAACAGATACCCTGGAACAGACTTCCGCATGCTATCAATCTCGTCGTGGTATAATCGATAACAAGAGCTTTGTTCACATTATCGGTCAATTTTTTCTGGACGCCGGCCGAACATTCTGACGCTGAACACTCAAACGCGTCATATTCGGGACCAGTCTTTTCGGCGATTACCAAATCCAAAGCGGGGGAAAGTTGGTACAGACGATTGACAGCTCCTATGTAAACTCGGCCGGTATTTTTATCGACAACCAAATGATTGAAACGTTCAACTTCGTTATCACTGAACGTTCTCACTATCACGCTTGACGCAGAGGCTAACGCCAAAGTCAACAGGAATATAAGAAGCTGCCGCTTCATAGTGTAAGCGGCCGACACCGAACTTCACGTCATGGGCCCTGAAACAACAAAATACACTTCTGTAAAAACCAATACCAACTGGTTACACCATGTATATCTTAGGTGTAAATGAATATTTTTTGGGATGAAAGTGATATAAGTACTTAAGTACTTTGGGAAAGGAGATCTTTGCCTCCCTGATTCCCCACTGGAACAACCGCTGCCCACAAAATTACTAGGCGGGTCAAAATTTGTACAAAAATCTCACAAAAGCCAAGGTGTCTAATCTAAAATTACATAAAATCTTACTTATTGTTAGACATTGAATAGGTATTTGGAGAAGCAATATGTATGTCAACACCTTTTCTGCTTAAACATTTAATCATTAAAGGAATTTGTGTGATGGAGTTAGTACAAATACCTAAATGTTATAAAGTATATATGTACGTATGTAATAAATGTTAAATATGATTNCAATTTTAGCAAATTACTTGAAGGCATCAGAAATTTATTACAATAGTTGCAGAATAAGAAAATTGATAGAACAGTAATTTCTGTAGGGTCCTTTATAATTCGAAAATTATCACTATTATATTCTGAAGATGTTTGAGAGCATGATACACTAGAATTTATCAGGGTTCCGTCCGTATCATAATAATTCTTCTACACTCGTTCATCAAAAAACATTTTCTCCATACTTCAATGCAATGTTTACATAAAAAACCGTTCGAATTATTCGATAATACTGTATTTTATTTAGAATTCAATTCGTGATTCAACCAACATGAACAAGACTTATCTGCTATTAATTATTTATAATACTTTGCAATTTTTGCAATGCATGAGGGTTTTCTTATTAGACAGAGGCTTCGAATGGGACGTGTTAAAACGGTCAGTTTTCTGCAATGATGGACAAATAATTTCCATCAAAATAGGTAAAGATGCTTGCTTGCTTGTACGATGCTATAAAAGTTGATAAAGTTGCAATCACGCGCATTGACCTTTCAATCAAGAAGATTTATAAAATACCATCTGAACTAAAGCTCATCGATTGTCATCTCCATCGGGTGATTAATTACCTACACGGCTGTTACAATAATTGAACCAGTGGCAGTGACAATCAGAAGTGATGTAAAACTACGCTTGTGTCGCCACTTCATCCGTGAGAGAGCACACATATCCATCGATTTCTGTAACCCTCGCGGACGCAAAAAACCAACCCACTGGCATCGAAAACAAAGATGATAACATACAAAACTCTTGTTCATGTGTTTGTACGACAATTTCGATGTCGTTAACCTCAAAGACGCCCAAACCGCGTTGTCTAACGTCTTAAAAAAAGACCAAAGCGAAATAGTCGACAAAAAAACAGAATACAGTTATTTCGGAGACATACAACTAGTAATTATCATTTTATATTGGTTTAAGAACAAAAAACTTGCTGTCGGATAAAATGTGGATTTATGATGAATTATTTTTTTTTAAAGCACCCTCACCAAGGGAGCATCGGCTCGTCTAATTAGGTAATTGCTTATTATGCATGATCATTAACAATTTCGAAACTTCGTCGGAATCTTAGCTGGCGCATTCCATCAGGAAATTATCAAATTCTCTCTAGAGGTTACGACGAAATATTTGTTAATAGACAGATGCATGTCATCAAATAATTGACGCACATTATTAACGTCTGATAATAATCAAAACCAATTGGATTTCGTATAACAGTGTCACTACAAGATAATTTAATTAAATTTCGTAAGATAATAAATTCTTTATACGTAATTAAAAACTGTTTTAGTGGTAATCTGAAGTTTTTAAATTTATATTTCTCTTGGGAGGTTGAGAGTATACTTCTAACATGCACATCTAACAAGCTTAAAGCTGATTTCTCTGGTCTCGGCGGTCGCCGATGCTACACTCACGGTGATTTTATTATTTAAAGGCGTAATCGAAAATATTGTTTAAATAATTACACACTATTATTACATAAATATATGTCTACCGTATAACTTATCATCACACATACATGAGTAGGCGTATCAATCATTAATGAAGGCATTAAAAAAGGGTCGGTAATGACTTCTATTTCAATATTGATTCCACCGTCTCGTTTATTAAAAGTGCATACATAAATGCATGTATGTATACATACATATACTAAAATTCCAATATTCTAAGCGGATGTATGTGATAAAATGCATTCAAGCAGGTTTTCGTGGGAAGATAGAAGTAGTTTGCTTTTAGTTTTAACAAATAACCAGCAATCTTGGAAGAGTGCATTGATATTTAAAAAAAAAAAAGATAGAGTATCTAGGTGCAATGTGATTCAAAGTAAATTATTAATATTTTGATACAGCTGTAAATAAACAAAGAAAATGTTATAATGACTTGCATACAATGGGCTTAATTATTACGTCGTTCACACTGAAATGGGCCGTACTTAGGTCCACGGACAAAATTTAATAGGATAAGAACTATTAAGTCAACAAAGATCGATATGAGAAGCACATAAGTTCACATCTCGTTTTTCAAAAATAGTAGTTTAGCATCCTAAGTACACCCCTGATAATGACGTCATGTACGAACGACATTCGCTCCCTAGTAATAATGATTAAAAAGATTTTAAGGCATTTTCGAAAAGCTCGTTAAAAATTCCAAGAAAAGTTTTGCCGATTATGAAATTCGCCAACGGATCTTGTAAAGAATGCAATAAACACTTTAAAGGCATTTAATTACTGTCCTTTTAGAGAGAGACAGCCATTTTATAAGTATCAATATTTCCATTAGCACTCCAGGAATGGCAATATTTCAATTTCATTTGATTGAAATTGCTAGATACAAAAAGAAGCTACGACATTATTAAAATACAAGCGAACTGAAAAGAAAACTGACAAAAAAAAGATTGCCTCCGTACTCCTACTGTAATTTATGTAATATCCAATTCAGAAACTAAAAATTTAATTTAAAATTTTCTGCCAATAAAGTGAACTGTACACCGATGGTGGCAGCGTTTACTTTTCGCAAAATAACAAAAAAGGTGTGAAAGTGAAATTGAGTTTTCTTCACAGTCCATTAACTTTGTACACAGTGCAGCAGTTAACCGTTTCAACAGGGCATGTTACAATTAAAAAATACTTAAATATAAGAATAGCAATTGAATAGTTTTCTCAGTTGAAAATAAACATTAAATATGACTTTATTACTAGATTGTTATTGGTTATTTACGAATAGTAGCTGTATCTATATTATAAAAACAATTTCCTTATTCTCTTCTAAAATAAAGTCTTACTTCTGTTATTCGAAACTTTTTTACGAGATTTCGAAGGTAGATGTTTCAAAGAAAGTGTATTAAAAGGAAATACTACCTAAGATACATTTTTTTTTATATTAAAACATTTGAACTTTGACACAAGATGGAATAACTAAGTAGAAGTTAATGGAGTTCTTTAAAAACGAAAACTTCTTCCATTTGCATAATTTTCTGTAATAAGTGCTCCCTTATAAAATTGTAAGTGTTATCGACGTAAAAAAAATAAATAGGATAAAAATTGGCATTCCAGTTCCATTAATTGCTGTTTCAGTAATTGGTAATCTTTTTCTCGAAATTATTTTTACATAAAACCTTCGCAGTCTACTAAAAGTTCACCATTTGTAGTAGATACAAGGTAAAAGTACATCAGGCTTCTATTTAGATTTTCTTCCTTCCTAGTTAATTACGCTTTATTTGCAGTTAAAGAAAACAAAATGAGTCTAAACACTACATTACGTCTATTGCTCTATTCAAACTAAGGCTGTAATTACAAGTCCGCTGTTATCTTGAAAAAACTTGGATGAAGTTACTGATTTTATTTGCGTTATCTCCATTTACGAAAACGGATAAAATGAATGCGCCATGAGCGTAAACTCGTGGTGAAACATTTTGAATAAAATAAATTAATCGAACACTTAAACTGCTTCACAAATACATATGCCCTAATCGGGGTTTTGTCGTCCTTGTCACCACCTGCTCGTTCAGCATTCAAGAGCAATAAAAACTATAGTCGTGATATCCAAATTTTAAGAGTATAAAGTAAGGTAATAAACTTTATTAAGGAAAGAAATATAGCACAATGTTTTTTTTGCCGTTGTTGTGCAGGAACAAGGTTTAATTGCCAAATATTCAAACCACGCCGCCAAAGAAGTTCCTATAGGTACATATAAACGGTACAATTTAATAATTTAATTTCGTGCACCATTAGAGGCAATAACGAATTAATAAAATGTTGAAGGACAAACAAATATTGCAATCAGCAATGTATGAAAAATTAATATGAAAGCCAACGAATTTCGGTTAATGGAATCGTAACTCTACAAAGCTAATTAAATTATAAAGAAAATATCCACAAACCTTGTTATTAAATAAAAAAAAAGAGACCGCCCACGGGTTTTTGAAAAGCTTATTGGTATGATAACATTCCATTTACTACAAAATTATTATTAAAAAGTTAAATAGTATGGAAACTGCTCGACATGAATACAGTGTTTCATGTTTATTAGGTGTAAAGCTATGTAGTTATAAAGAGTAGAAGCTTAAATTGATACAGAAACTTTACTATAATATACCCTATAATTGCATTAACTTGTGCACAATGGGTAGCTTTTGAAATTGAAGACCACTGCGCGCTAAGGGCATCTTTCTTCCTATCCTTTTGTCGTAAAACCTTTTAATATGTAAATCAAGATTCTTATCTGTGCACCAGACTTACGTATACCTTCTAAACTGAAATTATCAATTTTCTCTTTTCTATTGTGCTAGATTCTTAGTTAGGGTTGAAATGCAATTTTAAGCACCACATTAAACTTATCTACCTCCCCCTCTATAAACATACATATACATGAACTTACTAAACAGAAAAATAATGGAATCCCAGGAGGTTACTCGTTTAACCCGTTCAGCAAAACGTAGTTGTTCCCGTTTAATTTGGGCGGCTGTCAGTTAGCGTCAGAAAAAAGTTTTTGTACGTAGTAAGATCAAATTCAGCAAAACATTAGCGAAAAAATTATTTAAACAATGAAAATTGCTTTTTTGGTCACACGGTAATCAAATCCTTTCAAAACGACTGTTTAATGTATTCCAGTATTTTGGCATTAAATAAACGACTCCGCGATGGTAGGTAGCAGCAGAACATTTAATTTCTCATTAAGGCACTTAATTTGCCTTTAATATAATCATTCTTGGTGTCTTTTTCAAAAACTGTTATACGTTTCGTAAGTGTTTCCAAAATTTTCTGCGAGTGTTTTTATGGACTCGGACTTGGGTATTTGAGCAACGTTAAAAAGGCGTCAGTGGTAATCACAATAAAATTTAAAAAATTACTTCGGATTTAGCTCAAAACTGACTCCAATTCAATTTAAACTTTTATTTCTAATAAATTATACTGTATTATTATTGGTTGTAAAAAAAAATTATACGGCGACTACTATACGGAGTTTATAATAATGTCAAGCGGCTTATGTTATAAAGTTAAAAGTTTCAAAGCTCCAGTTTATCAAGAATAAGTAGAAATGTTGTTTAAAAACTTTTTCCGGAACAACAGAAAAACTGAGTAGTAATAAATAACATTGGGAACTTTTTATGTAGCATGGATGTACCTATAAGGAGATGGTGATATGGAAAAAAAGGCAACTTACCGTAGGTACACAGGCGTAACTGGTGGAGATGAAATCGAGGCCCCGTTGTCCAGAACCATTGAAACAATTTCGTATGTTTTGCATAAACTTTCTTCGAATGGCTTTGAGTGAGTAGACGCACAGAGCAGAAAGGTCAGAGGGTTGATTGGAATGACTAGGATCACTTTCACTAAATACAGCATACAAAACGTCATCTTGGGCAGTGATGCCAAGATCACTGGCTAAGTCCGAACCTGGTTTGGCAACGTATGCGGCTTGCACTAAGTTATAATTCCTACCCCCTTGCAGGTCACTGGTACAATCGATCGGTATTTCGGTATACGAGTAATAATTTTCATCGTCCTGACAAACCCGCACCAATTTACTAACATACTGGCTCGAAATACTGTGTTTCATTTGAGTGGTCAAGAAATAACTAAAACCTTCCGAACTAAAACCGTAAACGTAATTAATGAGGTACCGTTCGCGAGCTAATGAATTTACAAACATTCGCGTTCCAGTGGTTACAGCCATTTGTGCGATTTGAAACATCTTATCCTTATCCAATGACCTACTGCTAACCGCTGGGATTTCGGAACGATAAGAAGATCCGGACGTTCCGAAACCCTCAGGTACTGTGTAAGTCACCCCCACATACATGACCTGCGTGACTGGAGGGTTGGGTGGCCCTGGGGCAATAAATGCTACCGTCGAAGCCGTTGCATTATTAGCTACAACAGCTTCTCGCACTTCTTGAGTACCATCCGAAATGTTATGCAAATTTCTGACCGAACAGATACCCTGGAACAGACTTCCGCATGCTATCAATCTCGTCGTGGTATAATCGATAACAAGAGCTTTGTTCACATTATCGGTCAATTTTTTCTGGACGCCGGCCGAACATTCTGACGCTGAACACTCAAACGCGTCATATTCGGGACCAGTCTTTTCGGCGATTACCAAATCCAAAGCGGGGGAAAGTTGGTACAGACGATTGACAGCTCCTATGTAAACTCGGCCGGTATTTTTATCGACAACCAAATGATTGAAACGTTCAACTTCGTTATCACTGAACGTTCTCACTATCACGCTTGACGCAGAGGCTAACGCCAAAGTCAACAGGAATATAAGAAGCTGCCGCTTCATAGTGTAAGCGGCCGACACCGAACTTCACGTCATGGGCCCTGAAACAACAAAATACACTTCTGTAAAAACCAATACCAACTGGTTACACCATGTATATCTTAGGTGTAAATGAATATTTTTTGGGATGAAAGTGATATAAGTACTTAAGTACTTTGGGAAAGGAGATCTTTGCCTCCCTGATTCCCCACTGGAACAACCGCTGCCCACAAAATTACTAGGCGGGTCAAAATTTGTACAAAAATCTCACAAAAGCCAAGGTGTCTAATCTAAAATTACATAAAATCTTACTTATTGTTAGACATTGAATAGGTATTTGGAGAAGCAATATGTATGTCAACACCTTTTCTGCTTAAACATTTAATCATTAAAGGAATTTGTGTGATGGAGTTAGTACAAATACCTAAATGTTATAAAGTATATATGTACGTATGTAATAAATGTTAAATATGATTCACTTTACAGGTAGTTTGGTTTCGAAATGTCTAATAACGATAATAGTTTACACTTTGCAGTAGAGTAACAATATACACGTTTATAATTGTAAGTAAGATTACCTTGAAAATAAATTAATTTTACCTGACACACGAAAAGGCACATGTTTGTATACCAGTATAAAACCGCCTCACCGATGAATCACAGACTATCTCGAATATGCAAAGAGGCAAACGGAAGTTATACAAGAAAACAAGTCAAAACACGTTAACTGTTATTTTAGTTTTATATAAAGGAGCATTTATAGGGAACCAGCCAAACTGGTATCACACTGGACACAATCGTATCACACCCCGCGTGTGATAAAAAAATATAAATTCAAATGAAAAAAGTTTCAGAATATATGCACCTATTTCTTATAATTAAAAATACCTAACATTGCGAAAAAGGGATTAAATGTTTTCAATCTTTTGAAGTCGGTTTGACGTGGTTATTAAAAAAATATATACATTCCACAGGTTCACCAAATTATGCATTTTACTCGCCCGCCATAAAAAGAAAAAAATGCTAAAAAGAAATGTTTAATTTCTATGAACGTTTGGCTTACCCGTAGTAGCGTTCTCATGTTGAAACCAGTGTAACTTTGTCAAAGAACAATACGTTAAAGGGTTAAAGAGTGGGTAGGTAATATATTCGTTTCAAACAACGCTACCATCTGTTCGAAAAATTCAATCATCCAATAAACTCATGCAACATCCTTGTAAGAATGCATTTTGAATATCTGTCGAACAAACGTGCAGCTAATATCATAATATTACCACCACCGTCACGGCAAACTTTTTTAAGATTTGCTTTACTGATTGATGAGCCTATTCAATAGGCAGTCAATAAAATATTCAAATCATTTTCTTTCTTTCCTGCTTGCCAAATTTGTTTCTCTGCTTTCTGATTTTATATCTGTCCTTATAAATAATATCGCAAGAAAACTTCTACTTCTGCTTTTACGAAAACTACAGCCCATTCTTATGCAGTGCATATGTTTTTGTGAAAACTTCTTAGTATGTGAAGTGAAAAGAATGCCAACATATCATTCCTTTCTCTCTTATTGTTCTATTATATTGCGTTTATACTTTATAGAAAGCCAGTAAGGTTCTTTTGGTAAGAAATAGAGGTGGGCGGATAGAAAAAGTACCGCTGCTTCTCTCTCGTGGTTCAGTTGTCTCAAAGTGTGAAATAAGTAGGTCGATTTATTATTGTCTACCTATGGATATGCAATTTTAATTTCCTTCCCTCAAATCAAAGTCGATATTTTAATAGAAAATATGTACATATAACGTCAAAATCAATTGAACTCAATAAAACACAGAAATTAACTTAATATTAATTGAATAATACGTATTACGAATCATACGTGTACATTGTACATACATGGGTATTAGTTTTGGTTTTGTCGTTCTAATAAATTAGAAAATAACGTTGCTGTGCATTTGACGAAATTCGATTAGGTACATAATAAATAATTTGCAATTACCTACATTATAATTATAATTTCTGTTGTTTTATTACGTCCTTGATAGATACAAATGAAAATTTAAATGAATGATATGCATGGAAATATCGCAATTGTTTTACGTCCTCAGCACTTGGCAAGTTATTCAATCCTCTTGTATAGTTTACGTGTTAAAAGTGATTTTGAAAGGCTGGTTGCCTTGCAAGGTTATTGATCAATATGGTGCAATGCCTTGATGGATTGTTTCTAAATTATCATGGGAAGGCCGGGCATTATCTCTGAGTAACTAGTAAATCTAAAGCTAAAATTTCGTTTTACTCGCCTTTTTTTTAAGAAACACTCCTACATTTACCCAGTGAACTTATCTTCTTTAAATGTCAGTCGTAGCAGTACTTATTCTAACCTGCAATGTCTCTTTTTATCTTTTGACCTATCTATCATTTCATTAATTCTATAGTAGTCATGTTTTTCTAAATTAATGTTGCAATATTCAATAGAAGTCGTCATAAAGAATTATGTAAGTTAAGTAAAAACAACACATTAACATTCCTGACTGCTACAGGTGATTACTATTCATATATAGGGTGTCTCACGGTGACCACTTATTAGAATATTTTTCGCAACCTACAGCTTTATACTTTTTTTTTAAAAATCTGGAAAGCAAAATTTTACAAGTAGAAAAGCATTATAAAAGTCTACTAAAAATCGTAAGTAGAATATAGTTGGTGACAACTTCCGGTGTTATTTTAATTTAGAAGAGTATACACAATAACGTTATCGCCAAATTTTTAAAATTCGAATCGAAGTACTTTTCCGAAATATTCAAATGGGCGGCCACCGTGAGACACCCTGTATATGAACAAGAAGAAATTTCAAAACCTTATTAGACGGATAATTAACTTGTGCAAAACCATTTCACACTACATATAACGCTAGAAACTCCTTAAACAGTGACTCCTAATGCATGTAGGAAAGTTCTTTAAACGCTTTTTGTTAGTAAAATATAAAAATTAACGCACGACAAATAATCTGATATCAGCTGAACAGTAGACAAAAAATACTATTTTATAGAAGCGGAAGTGTGTTAGATAAGAATTTCCTGTTTATGACACAAACAAAATTAATTAATGTGAAATTTAAATCAAAGTGAGTGTTTACAGTGTTTTCTAGTTTAAAATTTTACTGAAAATAAACATTATAAAAGAAATCGCTTTGTTACAAATATATATGTATGTTACAATGGCATATACTCCAGATGAAAATTTCGTTTAAATCGTGTATAAAAGACATCCTCATCTAAGTTTTTAATAACGACTCCATTTAATCGATTTTAAACATTTAGATAAGATACTTAGTAATAGTGATTCGTATGGAACCAAACCAGTTAATAAAAACGTAGTAAAAGAATAAATAAGATCTTTCACATTTGTAGGTATATATTTTTAATTGCAACAAAACTTCTTACCTAGAAAAAAATTTTAAGTGTTGAGATGTAACGTTAATTAAATCGATATTTTTTCTTTATTTGGAGTTTTCTTGTTGTATCGATTTCTAATCGGTGTGAAATCATTTTATTTTCGTGGAAATAAAAAAATAATAGTGTAGGCACTATTGTCCAATTTATCTAATCATCAGTTAGTAAACTTACAAAATTATTGTTAATCTTGTTTATTTAATGAGTTTCCCTGCACGTTTGTATCTATGTATGTAGGTTTTATAAACAAACATTTTATTTGCACTGAAAAGGCGATTGTTAAATACATACAAAATTACGATAATAAATATAAATTTATAACAATTTCAAAGGTAATGGGGAAATTTCATTATTGTATGGGATAATACATCGCTGCTTATACAAACCGAATGACTAATATTTGGAGCAATTTTACTTGTATTAATTGGAAAAGTAATTAAGTAGCTGTTAGGAGCGGTCATTACGGCTTAAGACAAAAGGTTGGATACCTACTTTAGATCAATTACACACCTAATCTATTAAGAAAACTTAAAAAACGGATATCGCTAAACTTAACACTAAGATAAATTATTATTTTAATATTCCAATTAGATTTCAATATGTTTTCTTATTTTTAAAATTAGTGTTTAAAGTTCTAATAAGTAGGTAGCCTCAATGTTTCTAATTTACTTAAAGGAACGCATATATATGTAAATAACATACGTAATTATTAATAAAACGTTTTGTTTATTATTACTATGTTTTAATAATTCAACATCTCTTAATGGCATAATAGTAAAAAGACGTATTTAATACAAGTCTAGTAATTTATCTAACTTTATTTAACAGGCTAATTACCTTCCTAGTAGTGTCGGTGCATAAAAGTGAAAGTTGAGGTTTAATTTAAACGCAACGGCTGGTGAAGGACTTCGCTACTTTTATTTATTGTTAAATTTTACAGCGCAAAGTATAAATCCTTTTTTTTTTTTTCTTCTTCCTATTGTTATGGATCATTTTACTCTAACAAAAGTATAACTAATGTTATATAAATTAAAAATAATCAACAAGTTAATAAACTGACGATAAGACTATAATACCTAGCCGTCGTAACGTGCAATGAGGATTTTCATTTCAAAAAAAAAAAAAATACTACAGATTCTTACCGGTAGTAGATAAAAATGTAAGTGTAAATAATACGTTGGTTTTAAATTATTCACAAGAGTGACCATTTCTTGGAAATATCCGACCAAGGTAGAATGTACATAGATAGATTTCCGTGAGATGAATTTCATTACCGTTAGAGATCGTTATACTCTGCCTTTGTATCAATGACTCAATCGATCAGATGTGTGATTCGTTTGCCTTATACCATCACACACATACCTACATATGAATTAGTCAAATTCCTATACATTTCAGTATTGTAAATGTATCTTTTTGTAGTAGATGACATATGGAATAGGTACTTAATGATCAAAATCATGTGCATTACAGATCTCTGTCAAATAATCACATTTCCTTTGAGAGATCGCACAATTCTGCTAATCATTTAAAATTTAACAAACCGAAATTAAAAAATACGCCGGAATGCAGTCAAAATTCCATCTGTCGATCTAACACTTGGCATCCTCAACAGTTGGAAGTTTCAGGAAAAAAAGAAAGAAGAATTTGAAAATATTCGGAATTTGTTAACAAATCTAGCAATTAAAATGAATTGCGAAAGTAGGGCCAAGGACGATCAAATTCTGTCAATATAAAAAACCTAAACAAATTTTACATATTATAAAAAAGCACATATTAGGATCAGTTAAGAGTTAATGTAATGCGATGCACTGTATTATGCTAGAGTAATGCAGGAAGCAGTCACTTGGTCCAATGAACTACCTTCAATTGTTGCTCTTGAATAGAGCAAAGAAAATGACAAAATGTTAAACGTTTTAACAAGATGATACAATCCCTCAACAATGATAATTCCATTGTGTACAATTTGAGCAAGTTGTTAAAAGATTACAAATGCATTTACTAATTCGTTCAGACGTACGCTTCTATTTAAATTAAAAATAAACCTTCGAATCGAAATAGGTACCAACATATTAAAGAAATTCTTAGATAAAATGTCTCTTACTTTAATTAAAACATCTTTTAAAAGTACTCCGCACTACTATAATTAAATTTTTAATTTTACAAATGACAACTAAAAAACAAATGGAAACGGAGACATTTGTTTTTTTTAGTGTTGCAGGTGTTTTAAATAAATTAAAATTTTGCAAGGAAGAATGATGATTATGAAAAGTTACAAGAAAATAGAAGGATATTACTTGTATTCCATACACCGTAAGGTAAAAAAAACTCTTTTTACTCATCTGAAATAATTGTTAACAATATTAAATTTTTAACGTTGTGAATAGTAACATAAAATAAACGAATTTGTATCGATATTCAACTTTGACAACTTATTTTTCTTTTCTGTTTATTAAAGATTAAAGCACAAAAATGATTATAAAGTTGAAACGTTAATTTTTCAGCTTATTGAAAAATGCCGAAAATTTATTACTAAAAAGGTAATTAATTCTCCGTAAGGTTACATATCGAATAATTCCTTTCTAAAAATAAGATTATTTAAATCTTAACTTCGTTTAAACCGTATTTTAAATTGTGTTTCTACAGTCATGTTTTGTGGACAAAAGTCTGGTCACAGTGCAAACATAACATTTTTACGTGACCAAAAAACAGCACTTTTTAAAAATTCGAACACTTTCGAACGTAAAGACAAAGGATGAATTTTAGCGTGTGCAATTTATTGCCGAGTTTTTGACAATACCGTGTGAATAAAAATGTTTTAATATTGAATTCAGCAATAGGCATAAAATAGGAAATTTAAAATTCCATCTTGAGCTTTCTTACAGTAAGAAATGAATTCAACAACATGACATATTTGGCTGAAATCTTAAGAGCAAAACTGTCACGCGTTTTACTCTTAGGAGTCGTTTAAAAAGACTCTAACTTAAGGACAAGCATAGGTACACCACGTAAGAGGGTAAAAACATACAAAGGAAAACAAAAGAATGTTCTTAGTCAAACACTAGAAATTTTTCTTTCTCACGTCACTACGAAAAGCGGCGCAAAGATGAAAATGGGATTTTCATAAAAAGATTCTTTATGAAACTAACGGTAGGACTAGGATATGGATTTTTGCTTATGTTATAGATCAAAAGATTACAGAATCAAAATAGCTCTAATGATAATTAAAAACCTGATGTCATAAACGTTAACGTATGGTAAGGTAAAGCGTTCACCGAACACAGAAATTACACATTTTCTCTTATGTCGCACGTACATGTGGAATATATTTTTTCAACCCCGTCTGAAAACTGTCCTAAACCAACCGAAATTTCAGAATCTTATCAACAATGTGTAACACCTAAATTGTATTTATTGAACTTATATTACTTTATACCATTTATATGGGTATAAAAGGATAGCTGAAGGTATTTTAACGAATTTTCCGATACCACGTCGTAAAAAGAAAGATGAATGCGTCTAATAGAATATCCTATGCTCGGCTTTCAACTCGCCATCAGTGTATACCACTAAAAAAAAGCCATTTCTCTTGGAAGAAGCAACTGATGGTGTTAGCTTTCTCATTCATCATTAGGGCAACTAAGAAAATTATCCTGTTATTTAATTTTGACATGTAGGTAATAAGTAGTTAAATCTAAATTTCTCTTTAGTTAAACGTAATTGTTGTAAATGTTGATGAACAATCTTCATACACATACGTATATGTTTAAATAACTTACGTAAAAGAATACTAAATTTAATCATTAATTATTAGTCTATAATTAGTAAGATCATTTTATTAAAATTCTTGCAGAAGGTAAATAGTTAGGTACCTACATTCTTTGTAATGGCTGTTTACGTCCCAGGCGACTGATTTATTACTTACAACCCTTTTGCTACTGTTTTATCGTTTTATACATTGTAAATGTACTACACTGTCTCATTTAAAGATGCATTAACAATTTACTTTTCATTGTATGCTGTAATTATAGCTGTACTGGAATAGAAAGCAAAGATAATTTACAATTTAAAAGTGTAGAATTTGAAAGTGTCTCACAACGAACATTATCGACTAATGTTTTTTAGTTTTATCTTCCTACTTTCATCAAATAAAGAAAATATAAACATAAAATATAACACAAATCGAAATAGGTATAAGAAATAAACATTCTAATGATTTCGAAAACTAATATCTACTTTTCTACCTAGGTACCTACCTATTGTAAGTTCGTCTTTTTTTCAGGCAAATCATGATTTGTCTTTTAATGACTAAACAAATATGTATAGAAAGTTAATGGTTTATAAAACAGAATCAAAAATTTTTTATATAATGTAAACATTCGTAAGGGCTCTTAAAAAAATGCAAAAATATAATTACAAATAACAAAATGAAAATATGCTTTTAAAAGTCAATAATAAGAGTGTGTAGTACAAATAACAGAAGAATAGAAATAAAGCCTTGCAATCAATATAGGTATCAAATAATGCTCTATATTTTTGAAGCTGTATGGTTTTCACTATTCTCAATAATATGGCGTGATTTTAATAATATAAGGTGCTAAACATTGAAAATAAAAACAGAGCAATTACCCAATTCGATAGATTACCTTTACGAAATTATTGTAAACATCAATATCAACCAGAATATCAACTGAAAGCATTAAATAACACATCTTGTGCTGACAAATACATGTAAATACTTACCTACCTATACGGTATTTATAAAGCTAGAAAATAATGCATATGTGTAGTGACAACGATTATGATGCTGCAATTGCACATGACAGTTTTAAAACGTGTAATTGACAACCTAGGAAATGTTTATCAAATAAACCCTTTGTTGGAGCAGGCATATTATTCTAAGTTTGTCCCAATATTTGAACTTAAATCAAACAATCTGCCGGTGCCCAAAAATCGATATAGAAACGTCTAACGAGTGGCTGCATATCCCTGGTATTCGCACATGTTCACTTAAACCTCGTGACGAGTTTACCGCACCAAAGAAACAAACTTTTGCAAACAATATTATGAAAAACAAGTATTAATATTTACCTAAATTCTTATTTCCCGTGATTCTCTCTCTGAAATCTCCAACAAATTCACTTTCCTTATTCTTGGGAATTTACTGTCTACGAAACTTGCGTAACACTTTAGCGGGTAATTTCACAGCACAACAATTTTAATCACAGCACAATTATATAAAACCATTCAGTTTGTTGAGTCCAGAAACACACAAAAGACATCACGACCCCTGGATTACTTGAAACACACAAGTAGTCGAATTTTAGGTTATGTTACACACAGGGCAGTATTGCTTCGATTCGATGCAAAGTTGTACTTGTTGAATAAAAAATATGAACGAGTGACTGTTTTACTTTGTGTACTACGCGAAATGATAACACACGATGTTAGTGATATACTAATTTCACCAATAAAGGCGCAAATGAATCACAACGTTCAAAACAAAAGTCGCTCATACACTGTCGCTACGAAGATCTTTTACCCCACCCTACAAAACCTGACTGTTAGGCGCATGTGCATAGCCTTGCTTGTTCGTAGCAGTAGACGTAGTCTGACTAATTATTATTTTATAATTATAATTAAATCAGTAAATATGTTGTACAATTTTACTTAAAACATTGAAACAAGCCGGTACTGCGATCGGGTAATTAATTAAGCAATCAGAAACATATATCGGTGTATAAACATTACAACAATGTAATTGGAATTTTAATATCGGCGCGGAAGTTTAAATTATTTAACGAAAAATATGTATCTATTTAAAATTAAATTGCCTAAATTTTTTATGACTACATGTACAAATCATAAATATTAGCAATACAATATATCGTATATTTAAATTGTGATTATATTAGATTCATTCGGCCGTTCATTCATGTGATTATTCATCTTCCTGATAAAATAAAAACACCGCTTCGTTCGTTTAAATCGCTGAAATTGACAATGTTATTCGAGAAACTATAGTTAAAATTCTGCGACAATAAACAAAAGAAGTGTTATTTTTATTTTATCAGAAAATCAAAATTATGAGATTCGTTATTTATATTTTGCAAAAGCAAAATAGGCATAAAAGCGTGACTTCAAAACCCCTTTCTCATTTTTTCTGTTAAAATGATTAATTAGTAAATTTATGCTTTTTTGTAGTGCTTTAAAAAATATTGTTGTTTTTTTAAATATGTGTGAAATATAACTATCAGCATTTGTAAAATTTAACTATGGAAAAGATTCATTGGTCATTGAATCTGGTAGTCTAATGGATCGTGGGTGTTTCAGTATTCATATATTAATGCGGCGATATAAGTAATTTGAATTTGGCTGGCTTATAACATAATGCTGTTTATTTTTTATGTATATAAATAGCATGTGGAGGTAGAGAACAACATTCCAGCTGGTCGGAAGAACATAACATCATCCAACGGCAAAGCTAACAACTAAGGCAACATGGGTCCGGTGTCCTACCAGCGATGGCCTTGCTATTTCTAGGATACTTCACCGCTTCACACCACTTCCTTGTCGTCAATCGTGACTCTTCTACTACGTGACGCACACCACTTGCAGGTGAAAGAAGTGGAACCGTGGAACTGCAACTCGAACGTTTTCTCCTAGACTAGTAATAATAGCATAATGTGCCTGTTCCATATGGAAAATAAAAAGGAAAAAATAATCACACTAACTGATCCTAATTTATGCATGCTATGCGTAAACGGTAAAGAATTTCGAAAACCACATTCATGCCCTTTCCCATGACCAGATGCGATCTGGTTCTATCGCAAATAAAGAAATTCACGCACAGCCGCTACCTATTTACCGTAAATGCTTTCATGAATCTCTCCTCCAATCCTTCAATTATATACATATAAGCCACTCTATATGTAATACAGTATATAGTATATACAAAGCATAAAGAAATGGAAAGTCATGTAATTAATTAAAAAATTAAATTATATATACAATCAATGGCAATAACAAAATTATTACTGTAATTACTTAATGCACAAAGAACTTATTACAGCGAAATAGCTTTCTTCCATGAATTAAAATTTTTTGCTAAATATTATTTTAAATCTGTTTTTATTATAACAAATCCTACCTCTGTTTATTTTAAATTATCATTTTTTGATAAGAAAGAAATTAGTTATTGCTTAGCCATTGACCACTATTCCTTGTAGAAATATAAAATAGAAATAATAAAGCAGAATATTAAAAAACGGAGTTACACTTCCATGGATTCGATGCAGGATCTTAAATTAATTTAATCTGCATATAGGACACATCATGCAACGGTGTGTAACATATTGCCTATATTACTAGACTTTTTATAGAAAAAACTTTTTTTATGTAAAACAAACTCTTGACTTATACAATTTTTTTTTATTTCTACCAAAACTATGAATAATAAACTGCCTTAGATAAAATACTGCCAGTTTTCTAAGAGTGCACAATTTATTAGTTAAATAATAACCGTTTAGTCTTAATGCATTATTGTTTTTCGTATGTTTTATAAAAATAAAAAAATCATACAAATGTTTAGATAAAAAAAGATGTTTACTAAATACCAGAAAAATTCAAAACAATCCAGTGAGTAATTATAACACCATGTAAATGTGTACACTGTACATAAAATAAAATGCAACAGACGCGTAAACAGGACATATAAGGGTAATACAAAATCTTCTTTCAAAATATAAACCAATAAGAAACCGGGAACCTATAAAGATTATTATTGTCAACGAATATAAATTATCCGTTAAATGAATTAATAGATTACTTTTTAATTATTGATTTTTTAACGATTCTCTATTTTATTCTAATTTCTCAATATGTAAATAGCAGTTATATAAAAACGGTGTGATATAACGTGTTTCTTCTAGTAAATGGCCGTATTAACTTGACCTGGTTATTTAAAAAAAACCCAGGGTCAAATAATTAAAACCACTATACAAAGTTCTGTAAAACTTTTTGATGGCCTAGTTGAGTTTAATATACTTATCAACGTTAATAATGAAAAGGAAAGTTTGTAATATAATATTAATGATAAAGAAAATCAAATAGAGCTACATGTATAATTTTGTTTGGTTTATTACTTTTATTTTCTTTTTTTTGGTTTGGCTGTACATTATCGTTAATATAAAGAAAATTGTTATTTAAAATTCACTGAGTGGCCTTTCAAATGACCCTGATAAAACACATAGCGTCATGAATGGTGTGGAGATGTCTTTAATGGAAGTCCATATAGTACCATTACTTGGTCAGTTTATTAAAGACGCTATATAGATTATAGTTTTACTTGATCACATTGTAATCCATTCACGTGCGAGTTGCTAACAAGTCAAAAATGTGCCATTTTTCCGCAGTTCTGTTTTTTTTATTTTGTGTATTTTTAACAATTACTTTACAGCAGGGCAAGTATTACAATCATTAAACTATTTAATTGTCTTTTACTTCAAAGAATAAATAAACATTTATCTACTATTTTATTTTTTTATCTAACGTGCAACAATTTAAAATAACGTTAATAGAGATGAAGTTCAGTTAAATATAGCGAAGTCTTTTATATCTTCTATTTTTTAAAATTGTATTTTAGAATCTATATCAGGATTAATCGTAAGAAGTAGATAAGGTATTAAACAAAGACGATATACCTATACATACTTGAATACTTTATAATTTTTTCACGTGCGAGTTGCTAAAAACTTACCTAACAAGTTAAAAATATGCCACTATTCCGCAGTTTTATGTTATTTATTTTGTGGATTTTTGAAACATACTTATAACAGGGACATACGACAATCTTAAGTCGTTTAATTCGGTATTAATCGAAACAAAATTAGAAGAAAGTGAAACCAGTAAAGAAAAATATGCTAATTGTATTATAATTTTATTTGTTAGCACAGCAAATAGAAATGTAGTTCTGTAAAATAATACAGCAAAGCCATATAGTTTTTAATATTGTATCTTAGAATCTAAATCAGGACTAAGTAGATGAAGTTTTTAATGAACTTTTCAACGTTATAATTATATTGTCGCACAACAACCTCAACTTTTCGGGAAATTGATGATATATTATTCATCGCCCATCTACTGTTGCATTATTTAAACTTATGAATAATAAACTTATTAATTTAATACTCAGAATAAATATAAATTAGTACATATGGCGCGGGAGTTTTGCATTTTAACGTTTATTTTCAAAATAGATATTATCTCATATTTCTAGGATCATTATTTTATCTTTGGTTTTACCTAATTGTAAACAAGAAATCATAATCATTCGTACATAAAAGAAACACGTAAAAGGTAATTTATCTGAATTACGCTACCGGCTCTCATAATTGTTTTATTATGTGCTATTACATTCTACAGGGACGGATTTAGTCTCAAAATTATTTCGTATCTAATGAGAAAAAACTCCTTCTTAATAATGAATATTTTAAAATGTACAGGGGACTTAACAGATGGAGATTATTGTACTACACCTCGTCAGGAAGCCGGTCTTTGCGTAAGTGTGGAGAACTGCGAATTTGTTAAACGTATTTTCCAAACATTTGGTCACAACAATAGGGACGTAAATAATTATTTAAATCGGTTGACCTGCGGATTTTCGGGGAGAATACCTCTAGTATGCTGCCCTGGTGTTTCAAACAGCAGTCGAGGTACAACTTCTGAAACAACTACTGAAAAAAAAACTACATTAGCATCGACTGCTAATACACCACTTGCAACTAGTACTAGAAGAATTACTGAAACTGGAAGGAATTTTCAAACAACAGCTGCAAGTGAAACTTCAATGACTGCAAACGAAATGCGTAGTTCTGGACGAAATATGAATGGGACCACAAGATTTTTAAGACCACCCGATTGCGGGAAAACTACATTCACTGGAGGATACCGCATTGTGGGGGGAGTTCCAGCCAAACCAGGTACTGCACAGTTGATAAAATTAAAATTTCCAATATCATTACACCAAACGAATATTCATTCTCTGTATGTTCAATCGTGCAATATTTGTTTTTTAACATGAAATTATCTGTTTCCTGTAAACTCAATACAACTTAAGAGTGTAATACATTTTGTATCTTTTTCTGTTTTGCTTATAAAATGAAATAATACGTACTCCGACCCTGCGTAGTTTCTTCAAATGTATAATAATAATTTAAATACAAAACGAGTACTTGTTTTAATATTGCAAAATCCTAATGTTAGTAGATTTTTTCTAGGAAACTTTCCCTGGATGGTAGCCTTAGGATACAAAAACAGAAAAAATCCAAATTTACCAAAATGGCTTTGCGGGGGAACTTTAATTAGCAATAAACATGTTTTAACTGCAGCTCACTGCGTAGAAACAACAGAAGAATTGTAAGTGTTTTCTTGCTTATCTAATTATTAAATAAGAGAAATAAATTAACTAGACTAGTGTTTTTTTTTGTAAATATCAATTAAAAGAAAAGTATAAGTTTATCATGTAAATTGGTCGAATAGTACATTTTTCTAGATAATTATATCGAATAATTAAATATATGCCCTCTTTGTAAAACGTAATACATAAATTAATGCATTCTTTTAATTACTCGCACAACTGTATATAAGTTGGCTATTAGAAAATGTGAAGGTAATTCATGGAAATTGCTAGTCGTTTAGATAATGTGCCCATAGGAAACGAATTTTAGGTATACTGTACGTGTTGGAGACTTAGATCTTTATTCAGACGATGATGGAGCAAACCCTGTTGAAGTGTTGGTAGCTTCTACAAAAATACACGAAGACTACAATCCCCGCGTCTCTTATACAAACGATATTGCTATTCTTACATTAGCCAAAGAAGTTAATAGCCGTAAGTAAATAAATTACCAACACTAAGCGGAGTCTCGATTTTGATATAATTTTAGCCTCCTTATCGCCGATTTGCTTACCAGTAGACGAACCATTGCGAAGCAATAGATTCGTTAGGTATTATCCTTATGTAGCAGGATGGGGTTCACAAGAATTTCGTAAGTATTTTATTGACGATTTTTAAACTTTACTTACCACGTACATTTATTATAGGGGGACCCTCTAGTACTTCTTTATTGGTTGCTAATTTAATGGTTGTTGATAATGATAAATGCGCAAAAAGTTTTTCGGAATTCGACAAGGTAACCATCGACGATAGGGCACTATGTGCAGGATTTCCACAAGGAGGTAAAGACGCGTGCAAAGGAGATTCTGGCGGTCCACTGATGCATGGGGTCCCTGAAGGACGAGCCCTCAGATTTTACATAATAGGAATAGTTTCGTTCGGTTATAATTGTGCGCAACCCGGATATCCTGGCGTTTATACAAGGGTATCCCACTTTATAAATTGGATAGAAAACAACATAATATAATATTTACACTGGAAATTGTGATTACAGTATAAACTGTAATTAAACATGTAATGTGTCATTCGTTTAAGCAGTTATACACTTTTTGTTTTAATAAGTAGTTTAAATTAATAAACCACAGATATAAGGAGAGGAAAGCGTCTCTAAGCGAGCTCACACTACACTCTGATTATGAAATGAATGTTTTATTACATAAAAAAGAAAACGTATTTGAAATAATTTTACATAGATATACTTGCGTATTATTCACTGTAATTAATTTACCAAATCCAATTTTAGAAATTTTACCTTGAATTATATTAAGTAATTATTAGCAATTACAAAAATACACAGTATAAAATAACAAGCCTTATTAATGAAAGAGTCAGAAATGCAATGTATTATATTTAGTCAAATTACATGAACTGACATCCTGAAAAGAATCGACGGTCGATTGGCTTGTATGAATTTGACACAAAACATGAACGAACAAAGAAAAAAACATAAATAATAAAAATACTCTAGAAACTATTCTCCTTTAAGAATAATGTATTTACAATTAGATAAAAACTATTATTCCGTAAGAGTACGCACTAATTTGCCATTCAAATAACAGCATTTAATTAATAAACTGATTTTCCCTATCCTACTTTTTATTTTTTTACTTTTTATAAAAAGAGAAATAAGACGAGAACGTGTACTAAAAACATTAATTTAACGCAAAAGAAAGGAGTTGCTACATCCAGATTATCACAAGTTGTTACGTTAGTGCATTAGACTTTCAAAATTATATTACAAAAACTTGTGACCTACAAAATTTTGAAGATAAACAGCAACAATTTGTACTAAATACTATAAATAAATGACTCGCTAAGCACCTTAAACAATATTTAATGATAATTGTAAATGTTTCAATAATAAACTACTTCACATAACAAATTCCATGTTTTAAATCCATAATCCGGCTCCTTACGAAAAAGTAGTATAAAACAGTATTCTTTTGCAACTTGTTTTCTTATGTTATCATCCTTAACAAGTATTCAATTAATTATGAGCCTTTAATAATTACTTACGTTCAATGTCTCTGTACAAAAATAAAATAACATTATACAACTATTTATATCATTCATCAATTGTTAAAAGAACGCCTTTAATGTAACGTAAATATTATAAAATTTTGAATTTTTTGCCAAATATACTAACACTTCATTATCCACACCATTACAGATAGTGCAATCCTTAGGTAGTTAATTTTAACATTATTAAGAAAAAAACATATTCGATTGTAGCGCTAAGCTCCATTAAATCAATGAACAGATAATTAATTAAACCAGAAAGTAATTAAGTATCTGCTGGCATTAGAATAGTCAATTCTGCTGTACACTTTACATATCTTCTTTATCTGCTGATTTCATTTTCTTAATTCCTACTGGTGTGGTTCCTTCTATTGTCCGCTTTGGCGTTTTATTTGTCGCTTGTGGATCTATTAAAAAAAGACCAACTAGTTCTACAAATTTCTTTCATAGATTTTCTAGGAAATATACGTCTTACTTTTATAGTGAAGCAAAAAAATGCGAAAATGTTGTTAATTAATTAAACTATATACCTTGCAACCACCTAACTTGAGTGGCAGGTCCGTAACCTTTGTCATTTCTTGCAGCTATACGAAATATAATAGCTGCTTTTGTGGAAGTGTCCAAGTGAGCTGCTGCTAATGAAGAATTTGGAACTGTACAAGAGTTACTAGCTCCACAATACACTCTAACAAAAGCAAGTTGATTTGTACCAGATTTCTCCTGCTATCAGAAAAAAAACAAAAAGAATGAAAACATAAGCTAAAACTACTTTTAAAAATTTTATTATTTACCTTGGAGTTGTTTCGTACAGCAAGATACACACTATATTCCAAAATTTCGCCTTGTGACGAATTGGGGGGTTCCCAAGACAAATGAGCGCCATCCCCCGATTTTGCTATTTTTATGGCAGATGGAGCGCCTGGGAATCCAGGTAGGCACGTCTTGAAAGCTGAGATCTTTAAAACAAAAAGCAAATACAATTTTAATAAAGATCATTGCAATTATACTTCTTTTAGGTTTTCCGAATTATGTGCTACATCAGAATTATATTTTTACCTCGCTCCATTCTCCCCTTCCAACGGAATTGATTGCTGCAACTCTAAATTTATATGCAGTTCCTGGTTCGAGATTAATCCTCGGCAAGTGTGAATAATCGGGTAAATTATCAACTGTGTAATCCGCTTCACTGTCACAATAGAAGTAATCCTGAACATCACAGCTTGTCCCCTTAATAAAACCTACTGTGTACCAAACGTCTTTCTCGCTTGGCACATTCTTCACATTATCAGTCTTGAATTCTTTTGAATGATCCAAAGCGGCCGAAGCAAGGGCTGAAAGTCCGTCTCCATTTTCGCTTTTCTTCTCATCAGCAAACCCATGTACTTCATTATTATTTCTTGCATTAGTTCCATCTTCTGTGTCGTCCATTTGTTTGTGTTCATCAGTTGTCTCCTCGCTGTCGTTATATTGTTCTTCACCTTTCTCCTCTTCAAATCCTTTTATTCCTTCCCCACCTTTATCTATTAAGTTTCCGTTGACTGATGTTAGGCTTTGTGTAGATGGTTGAGAACTGCTCACGCCTGAGTCACAAACGTCTGTTGTAGACTCAGCTTCAGATTTAGTCGTATTTTGCTGAGCATAGTTTTCAGTGCCTACGGGGGAACCGATAGGAGATCCTCCAAACAAACCTAGTCGAATTTTACCACCTCCTTTCAAACCCATACGTTGATGTAATGCCATTCCACCAAATAATCCAACACTCGAGGCTTCGTTGGCTGAAGGCTCTGTTTCCATAGCGCTTTCATTACTATTACTCTCATCTATTTTCATTATCATGTTTGATTGGTCTGGTGACAGTTTATCTTCGCCGTCATCCTTAACAGGATCTATTAAACCAGCCTCGGCCGCTAATGCGGCCAAAGCTGCGTCTGTTGTGGCTGGACTGTCAAATGATGCTGGTGCTAGACAAAAACAACAATACCAACAATAAATACTAAATCCATCCATCCAATGTATGACTGTAAAATAATTACCTATGGATGCAGTAGGTTGTTTTGGACGTGACATAACCATAACCTTTTGTGGCTCTGTTGAAGATGATACAGTGACTGCTTGAACTGTGGCACCCGCCGGTATTCGGACAATTTTTCCAACAGGAGATCCTGAATGAGAACCAACTTGCTGTAGCTGTTGTCCAATTTGCTGGAGATGATTGCCAACAAGAGTCAGCGTTTTACTGCCTCCACCAGCCATTTGCACGGTAACAGGCTTTCCTCCAATCATAACTTGTTTCTATAACGACAATAAAAATCAATTCAAAACAACTTCAAAAGGATATGTATGTTTCTTACAGTATTCTTGGACAGTGTAACGGTTTTTTGAGTTCCTCCAGGCATAGAGATAGTAATTGGTTTGCCAGTAATTTTAACGTTTTGTAAATTAGCCACAGACGCATTAGATATGGGATGTACATTAACAGTAGTGGTTTTAGATTGTGAAAGAGCTTGAGCTTGACTAACTGACTGTATAGTACGAATACCTGCATTCGTACTGACAACAAGTACTTGAGGATTACTAATCGTCTGTAATTGTCCAGTGGAACTTTTTGACAATACAAGTTTCCCTGTTGCCTTATTCATTTGAATGACGTTTGAGGGTAAGGTTTTGACAGTAGTCATAATTTTGTTTCCCCCTGAACTGGGAATAATTTTGACATAATTCTTTCCTTGTTGCTGCAATACATTTGCAGCTGTCTTTACTTGACCTCCTTGGACAATATTTTGTTTGGGTAACGTTACTGTCATTCCAGAGCTCGTCTTAACCAAAGTCACTATTTGTGGCGTTACAGCCTTTTGTAACACAGTAGCTGATGGTAGAGATTTTTGTAGTATCAACTGTTTTCCCTGAACAGTCGTTGTTTGAGGTGTTGCCTGACGGACAACCGTGCCGGCAGTTCCTTGTACTCCTTGTATTCGCACATTTGAACCAGCTATAAATAAATGTTATTAAAAGTGAATAATTACAAAAAGTAAAATAAATACCAATTTTTATTGGTGAAACTTGTGGAGAAACGGTAATTTTCTGTGTAGCTGCTGCAGCAGCAGCGAGGGCTTGAATTCCAGACATGCCTGCCTGAGTTGTTTTCGCTGTAACATTTTCAACAGCTGCTGACTGACCAGATTGAGCAAATACGACAGACTGAGTTGATGCAACTAGTTTGGGAGCTGGAGTTCGTACTATATAATAAAAACAAAAATGTATATTAAAGAAAACATCACATCACAAACATAATAAAAATAATCCTTCTATTACACATACTACAAAAAACTCTTACATCGTACAACAGGTGGAATAACTTTGGGTGCTGCAACAGTGGGAACTTGTGCTAGTGGAATAACGGTTTTTGTTACCGTAGGGGTATGAGGCACGTTTGCGACGGGCGTCTGTTTTGAGGCAACTAGTGGAGGCACAGCTGCATCTGTTGAAGGAACAGAAGTTGCAGCAGACTGCTGCTCTGGTTTCTTAGCAACTGCCGTAGTTTGTGGCAGGTCATACTTTTGCGTCTAAAATTAAAATAACACGAACATAACACATATCAACATAATTTAAGCAATGGAAAGTTTACCTGTAGGACATAAACCTGTACTGATGGAGATCCATTCCAGTTAACTTCCAGGGAATGTGTTCCAGCTTTTACAAGTGATACTCGACCTACTGCAGCCGGTTTATCTACTTCTAAGTACCATAGGTCTTTAAAACAGACCTAAAAAGATTTACAAGTTTCACTACAATCACAAATATTTACAAATTAAAACTATCAACAAACATTAATTAAGTTCATATCACTTGAAATAAAAATGAAACAACTTCACAAATAAAGTGCATAAAACAAGTCAATGGCTCAGAAATAAAAATATCATTGACAAAAAAAAAGGAAATAATGATAACAAAAATAGTAGTCAGTAAATAAGTGCATGTATAATGCACTCTTACTACTGAAATTTACCTGATTGTTCCAAGCTTTTCTATAGCCATCACGACCAGACCAAACATATAATCGTGTGTTTATTCCAACAGCACAATGACCAGCACGAGCACAGGGAACATTTCCTTCAGTAGACAGAATATTTAAATCTTCCCAATGCATGGATTCTGTGAAAAAATTTGATTGAAGACGAATAAATTACAAACATATTGTAAACTAACCCAAATTAAGACAGGCCATTGTGCTTGTACATTTCCATTCCTTTTCACTGGTAGTTTTGGAATCTTCAGTCATAACAGGAACCCAACCACCAAAAACAAACATCCTGTGTCCAATAAGTGTAGAGGTATGTAATGATCTCGGAAGAGGAACAATACCAGACACTTGAGGTTTGCTCCATGTCAAAGTACCTGTATTTAATAACCATAGGTCCCCTAATCTACAGCCACTCATTCCTCCATAAATAACCAAAAATGATTTTCCTATAAAGAATTTTTAACTGTTTACAAAATACATATGAAATTTAAAATTTTACCTTTAGATTTATCCACATAGGCTACTCCTGTATGTGACTCTCTGGGTGGTGGAGAAGGGCCATGTGTAACAGGCACTTCCCACTGTACTGGATTCACTCTGATATCTAAGGCATATAGATCCTTTAAGTGTCTTGGAATATTATTCTTGGGGTCTTCACTATCATTTGCTAAACCGCCAAATAAATAAACCTTATTTTGTACAAGAGTAAAACTGTGTCCCAATCTTGGACATGGAGCAGAACCATTTTTAGGTGGTCTTGGCTTTAAACGTTTCCATTCCCAGCGGGAAGCCTACGAAGAGATATAAAATGATCAGTTTATACATTTCTTTATTTAGAAAATACTCAATTAATGTAGTACTTACTTGTAATTCATATAACTCATTACTATATTTTCCATACTCAACCATACCCCCAAAAACCAGCAATCTGGTTCCATCTACTACAAAACCATATGCAGCACATCCTGGGGGTATATCACCTTTTGTTACGGGTACAAACCATTGATTTGTAGCTATAAACAAAAAGCATACTTGTCCTCAAACTGAAGCTACATATGTAGTGCTTTGTTTGATAGTAAAAAAATGAATAAATATCTGCTACTCTACATGATCATTTCCGTATAAAACTTGTAACTGCTGAATTTGTTTGAAAAAATATGTGTGGACTGGGATATTGACACAAACAAAATGAAAACGTCACTTTTTATAATATATATAATAAAAAACCGACCATTTAGGAAGGTTTTTACAAATATCCCTCTTTCATATTGGTAACGGAGTTTCAAATATGTTAATGCAAAATTACATATTTGCAATTTCATAAGCGGCGGCATCTCGCATGTCGTTTCAGGGGACGCCATTTTTAAAATAAAGAAGTAGTTTTTTCTAAATTAACTAACAAAAAATGAAGTATGCACATATTTTCTTTCACCTTATTGCAAATAACTAAGAATATAGCGTGAAGAGAAAAACACTTGTACGAGATAGTGTACAATAATTACAGCTTCGGTGTAAAAAATGACAACAGCAGCGCGCCATATTTATTCAAGAAACCTCAAAATACCTGTATTGTAAACATGAAGTTCATCGACAATTCCTTCATTTCCGCCCCCAAATACGACCATAAGATCTTTAATAGCGACCGCACGATGTCCATGGCGAGGTCGGGGTTGCGGTCCAGTTGGATTTGCCACTAATTTCCACTGTAACGCCTTACCCGCCATTACGTGATCACATTGCACTCACGAAACTTCACGACGCCAATAGAAATCATGCGTCTGAATTCAAACATATCAAGTTCTCTTCTTCTTGTTGGTAGCGTTAAGATACGTTCATACAAGAGATCTGCTGATATGTTTGTGATATAAGAAGTTAAGAAAATTATTTTAATTTTTCTTTTTCATAATTAGTTACAATTTGCGCAATATCTTACAATTAACATATTAACAATTTGTTAAGGAATAAATTATTTATTATATTTTTTTATGATCTTGCTAAATGAGTAAATATACGCGTGCGTGGCCATCATCAATGTAAAAAACGGTTAAACCACTAATATGGTTTCAAATTGGTGGAGGTAAGAGCTTAAATTTATTTCATTAATTTATTTTCTAAAAGCGGCATCAGTAACAAAAATATACAATAAATAATACAAAATGTGATAAGTACAATTTAAAAAAAAATATGACTGCTTCAATTCAAATTAATACCATTTTCATTATTCGTTACTAATAATCAATTAATGCAGATTAATATTCGTTCATTAAACAAGCCCTGTTATGTAACTTAAATTCCACATAGCGCTCAATTTTTACATTACTTTAAACAACACTTTTTCTAATTTAAATTATTTTCTTTTATTGATATACATATACGTTCCATAAAGAAGGTATTTCATACATTTAATTCAAGAAAGCTTTTAAAACTTGTTCAAGTGAATATTGTGGTTTAATTTTTTCTCAACTACCAATACCATCTCCCTTTGATACTAGTCAAGTAAACACTTAATTATTGAAAGTCCTTTATTGTGCATTAAAAAGCAAATTTTAACAACAAAATAAATAAGTGTAAAACAACACCCATTTGAGTATTGGACCCTAAACCAGCAAATATCATTTTAACCAAATATCATTTGTGTCTGTGAGCACCGATTGCCTTTTTATTTCAATTTTCTTTAAACTCATAACTTTGAAGAATCATTGCTTTTCCAATGATATGTTCCAGTATAAATGTAATTATTCTTGAGTAGCATTTCATCAGCTTCCTTTGGCCCTCTAGATCCATACCTGCAAAAGTCAATGTAAAAAATTGGTATTATACATCTATACATTAAATGTTTGCTTTTTGAAGAATTAATAGAATTCTCTTTTTTTTTTTAGAAAAAACTAGTGAATTGGTGCCTTTTGAAAAATTCTGCACAAATAGTTGGTAAGAATTTTTATGACGTACATGTACTTAACAGGTTGAATTTTTTCCTTTTCAATGAAATGTAACAAGGGTGTGAATATTCTCCAGGCTTCACTAAGTTCATCTGAACGAACAAAATGCATCTGGGAGCCGCAAAAAACGTCGACAATAAGCTTTTCATAAGCATCAGGAAGTTTAATATTCTGAAAATTAAAATTAATTAGCTATTTAGTACCAAAAACTACAAGTACAAATAATCATACATTATATCTACTTCCATAGGTCAAATCCAACTCAGTTTCTTCCATATCAAAACTCATTCCTGGGGTTTTTACCATAAATTTAATATACAAGGCTTCACCAGGCTGTACTCTTATAACCAATTCATTTCGTTGTGTCCTTCCTTCAAAAATATCCCCAGCTACATCTTTATATTGAATCCTCACTTCTGCTTTCCTTTCATTAAGGGCTTTTCCACATTTTAATATGAAAGGAACTCCATCCCATCTTTCATTATTAATGTGAAGTACTCCCAAAGCATAAGTTGGTGTGGTTGAGTTTTTAGGAACAGTTTCATCATCTAAGTATCCTAACTTTTCATCTCCCTCTCCTTTAGGATTTCCTACATACTGACCAAGCACAACATGGTCAGGCTCCAGAGGTTTAATTGACCTCAAGACTTTTACCTATAAATAATATCATTTTTAGTTTGTTTGAAATTGTTTTTTGACTATCCAACCTTCTCATTTCTTATATCATCTGGGTGGAGGGAAGTAGGCTTTTCCATTGCTACTAGTGTCAAAATTTGCAAAAGATGATTCTGCATAATATCTCTAATAATACCATATTCATCGAAATAGCCACCACGACCTTGAGTACCAAATGGTTCCTTAAAGGAAATCTGTACGCTTGCAATGTTGTCTCTGTTCCATGTTGGATTGAAAATTCTATTAGCAAATCTAAAAAAAAATTGTGAGAAAAATGTAACTACAAAAACTTGTAAAAGAACCTTAAAGTCATCAAGTTTTGAACCATTTCTTTTCCCAAATAATGGTCAATACGGTAAATTTGTTGTTCAGGAAATAGTGAAGCTAGATGATCAGAAAGTTTCTGGGATGAATCAAAATCTTTTCCAAATGGTTTTTCTACAATTATTCTTGTCCATCCCCTACAATTTTTAAATTAAACAAGTGGTTTGTACAATATTAGCCTACATACTTTAAGGACATGCAAGTATTTCTTATATGTATTGTTACTTCTTCATAAACCGATGGAGGCAGAGCCAAATAAAATAATCTGTTAGCTATTGTAGATGTCTCAAACCGACTTATTTCTTGATTAAGCTTCTCAAAATCTGTTCTTGAGTCATATTTTCCTGATATATAGTAATTCATCTTCCAGAATTCATCGAACTTTTCTTGTTCATCAGATTTTACCTAAATTATCAGAATTTACATTTATTATACATAATAATTAGTTTTCATAACAATATTTACATTCATGTAGGGTAGTGTTTTTTTTTTAATTTCATCAACTGATGTCTTACTTCGAGCATATCCATAAAATATAGTTTTAGGAGGTAACAGTTGATCTCTGTATAACCACCACAAAGTGGGGTAAATCTTTTTTCTAGCTAAATCGCCCTGGAAAATGAGTTTTCTTAAGCTAAATTATTCCAATTATGCAATTAGTTAACTTACGGAAGCTCCTAAAATAATAAAAATATGTGGATGTGCTGAGTCAAACCTAATCCCATCACAGCTTTCGTCAGTATGTTTTAAGGAATTCCTTAACAGTCCCAAGTAAAGTTCCCAGTTTTTCTTTTCTGAAACAATTCAATAAGTTATATCATTAATTCGATTATTAAAAACTAATTTAAGAAAAGAACTGACCATCTAGAGAATGTTGTCTTTTCTTCATTTTTATGTGCTGATTTGCAAATTGCAGTGATGAATGCTTACACAGATTTGAATAAAAACTTGTGAATTACTGTACTGATAAATATAACTTATAGATTAGATGACTTTCATCTGTTTTCCAATAACATTAGTCAAGGTTGAACAACATTTTTAGTGAGTAATATTAGCGGTAAATTCAAAGTTTTCTTTTTTTTAAATATTATAACACCTGTTGATCCAGTCTCTAGGTCTCTTTATATAAAATACGACCAATCAGAATCATCTTATATTTAAATAGTCATTAAGTTGTACATGTATATATATCTGCAACAGCAGGTTGAGTAAAGTACCTAATCAATCAATTTTTCGTAACAATAGTTCATATAAATATGTTAACAAAACGATGATATGTAAGAAAAGATTGCTAAGATTGCTAGGAACACATTTGGTATATTTTTACATATGTATGTTCATATGTCGATTTCATTGGCACTCATACAAAATCAATAAAGCGTATTTTGTAATGTAATTGAATTTATAGTTTAATTAACTATAATATATTCATTATCAATATACACATTTATAGAAATCGTATTCAATTTAATAACATAATCTTTCAATTCTGATATGATATTTATCTACCGAAGTATTTACTGGAAATGAAATTTGTATGAGTTACAGTATGTCCCACAATCGCCGCAAATAAAAACCCAATTTTTATTTATCATTTAAGAACCTATTAAATATCGGTTTACACATATGGAATAAATTTAACCTAAGGTAGATAAAGATAAAATCCACATTACACCAAACTGTTTAATTAATACTAACCTTGAACGGAAGTAGTTGTATTTGAGGTAATTAATGTTGCGGATATAAGAGGAAGAATGTACAAAAAGTAGAAAGTTTTAACGAGCCCACTTGGAATGGCCATTTTTGTTACTCATCACTGGTCTAAATGATCTGTTTTTATTGTATTTGGTTAGAATAAACCAGTTACGAACCAACATACGGATAAAAGTGATTAAGTTTATCTTGTACAATTGAATATATACATATATGTACACATATAAATGATATGTGACAGGTAGAACACATTACGGATGCCTTCGGGTGTCTGTTTCTTTTTTATTTTATTTAACAAACACTTAGCGAAAGTAAGTTTGCATTATTTCTTAACGTCTGCAATTTAAATGTACAAGCAGCCACAAAAGAGCTAAATATTTAAATTTAAATACATATTTATAAATTATGACATTCTATACATGGGGGCTACAAAGAATTCTGAAAAATTTAGAATGTAGACCAATGATGTAGGTACTATGCTTACTAGATCTCTCAAGTTAATAATTATTTATTTATTCTAATTGTAAACCTTACTAAGGCCTTAGCGAATAGTCGATACCCTTTGTTTCAGATTTGTTTTTAAAATTTATTTTATTGAATGCAGTAAATATTAAGAAATAGTGTGCTATATAAATGTTTAACACAAATGATAACTCAAAATATGAAAATGTTTTAATCTTCAATAGATAAAGTTAACTTTTGCTTTAATAACTTTTTATGTCGTGTTGTTTATTTCAAGGACACGAAATACCTGAGTTCGTTATTCTTGTTACGTAGGATTTTCTTAGAATTAAAAATTTATCATTCTTTACGCCAATAATTAATTATTTACAAGACCAATAGCTCGTGAAATTACAATAGCTATAAAAATGTATATGGTTAGTATCTTATAAAACACAATTTGTTATTTTTTTAATTGACAATCAGTATGTTATATAACTTTTTAAGATAACTCAAAAAATGAGAATGTTTTAATCTTCAGTAGATAATGTTACCTTATGTTTTATTAACTTTTTTATATCGTATTGATTATTTCAAGGACACGAAATACCTGAATTCGTTATTCTTGCTACATGGAAGGATTTTCTTAGAATTAAAAATTTATAATTGTTTAAGCCAATAATTAATTATTGTGAGATTGAAAATCTGTATAATCAGTATCTGATAAAACAACCTTTCTCTTTAATTGTCAGACATATCGTTGATAGTAATTTATACACGTTAATACCCACTAAAGTTTTAAATAAATAAACAACTTCAGTCTTCGATTAGAAAGTTAATTACAGAATAGAAAAGGATTAGGAGGGTAGTAATAAATAGTTCTGAATTAGCAAGAAACAATGTTTTTTTTTTTGCATGTTAAACATTACTTTTTGTAGGATAAGTTTATAAAATAGTATAGTAGTTAGGGTAAAAATTTGAATTTGTTGAGGCAGTTAGGGATAAGAGAACACATTGCATGCGATGGTTGTAAATATTTTTTGTAAATGTGAAGAATTTAAAAAATAACTTAATGTTTAAATAAAGCAAACAACTTCAGTCTTCAATCTGAACTTATAAATGTCAAAGTCATCCTAATTATTATCAAACAGACTCAATCATTTTATCTGATAAGATCCTTATTATTATTACGTCAACTGCTAAAGAGCTACCATGTAGTAAATACTAAAAATAGGGAATTAACGGCATCAGTTTTTTTTTTTAATTTTTTAAAACTAATGTTTATTTTTGTTGCAGATGATACCTAACGAATGTGTGAGTGACTGTTACTGAATGCATTTTACAATTGTTATCAGGTCTCCAGATTCGGTAAGTGATTGCTATTGAAAAATTCCATATGTTACATATCGGTAAACAATCGATTGTTGTCAAAGCAATTAGCAATGCTTAATTGCTTATTCGTTTAATTGCATCATCGGTTACACGAAATGTTTAGTAACTAAAACGTTTTTTGAGCAACCGTCTACTTCCTGTTACTATCTGCTAAATATTTGAAGTTAAGCAAACTTTAAAATTATTAAGCTATAAAGTATACGTAACGTCATCTTTACACAGTACTGTACATATATTCATGACATTTACCTTGAAATAGATAATTTTTTTAATTTGAATCAGGTGATCAGTAAATGACAATACTAGTATTACGTATTGGTATTTTATTAAATTTCTACCGTATGCTCCACATGCTTTCTCGGAATACAACCTCGTAAACAATAACATAAAGTGCAGAACAACCCTCATAATAGTTTTTTTGTTTACAAGTCGTCACTGAAAATTTTTGGAGATAAAATATTGCTTAAATATATGTATATATATAATAATGTATAAGCAGGGAAAATGATTAAAAAGCGATGATACTAATACATATTTGTGCCAATTAAATTTATAAGGTGTAATTTTCAAAACAAGATTAAAATGAACGAGGTTTTAAGAATATTGCTTATTTGTGACAAACTGTATGTTCCGTAATAAGCAGGTAGAAACCCTTATACAAATTTGAATTCAAATAAATATATGCAAAATGAGGATTTTAAAACTTTACCTTAAAACTGGTTCTTTTCGAGCATAAATTTAAAATTTAAAATTGTAGTAAAAATTCTAAGAAAAATTTATTCGAAAATTTATACCTTATACTTTAGAATATAGCCGAACTATGTTGTTTTATTTAGTAAGATGTTTCAATCACTTGCAAGTTACCTAGTGTGAGCCTCTATTAATGTTTTAATGCGATAATTACAAAATTACAATATAACAATTGGCTGAATTACATCAACATCAAGCATTTTGTATACATTTTATGTAATACATTGTTGGGCTTATTTATGAAAAAAAACTGCAATTTGCGCCTAGCGATGTTAAAATGTAAATTAATTTACGTACACTAGAATAATAATTTATTCCATAAAATCAGCACGTGCAAATTTTTGCCACATACAGGATTAAAAATGCAAAGTCATTCATTTACGCTACAATTTTTGCATGTTCCTTTTTTTTTAAATTACCGCTTAAATAATGAATGAATAAAATAATAGATTTACTTACTATCCAACATTATTGTAGCTGTTCAGCTATTAGAACAGTTCACAACTAAATAAGTAATCACCTTCAAACTTTTACACTTCCTCAATTGCACTTTTACAAAAAACTTTTGCAAAGTATTCACNGTATGTTTATGATACTACACAGTGGGTAGTTTGCAGTAACAATACATGCACTGTAACATCTAGTCCATATAAAATTTGCAAATGTTAAAAATTTATCTTGAAGATTATCTCTCTCTATATACCTGTACTTCACCGCGTATCTGTTCGGTTTCTATACATTCAAATTATACCGGTATTCTTACTTGCTTTCGCCATAACGAAGCATGGTGAACACATGGCGGTTTTAAATGTTATACGCAGGACCGGCTCAGCCCGAATTCAACTAAAAAAATGCATCGCTTTTCCTAAAAAAACTAATAATTTATATGATCGATTTTGTAATCACTTCAACAGAAAAATGGTAATTGACGCACTTTCGGTAAAAATAGCAAGTAAGCACTCTAGTTGATTTAATTATTTCTCAACTACCTATATTGATAGCTTATCGTCATTTTATATTAAGAGTTATTTTTTGTAAATTCTTTTAAGAATTATGTTTTTTGGATTTTATTTGATATTTGTTAATCGTTTAGGCTTTTCTAAAATCATCTTTCAATTTTAAATTACGATAAATTAAGATTTAACAGACACCCTGTATTTCATTATGCACATAATTCTCATTAATTTCAATATTTTCTAGCTATTATTTATAAGACTTAGTAAGTACATTTTTAAATTTATAATATTCAAATATGTATTTTTTAACTAAAAATCGCGTTATTCAAAAAATTCCGGGTACATTTTTACTAAACATACACACACACTAATTACTATTTATTGTTTATTTTAGTTGCAATTATTTATATAACATTGCAGTTAATCATTTTTTTTTTTTATGTAAAACTAATAGATAAATCATGAAACCGATAGGTAATTCCTTGATACTTACGGTTTCGTTATCTAATTTCAGCTCGTGTAAAGTTGTAACAAATTCATGATTGATGACATGGCCTTTAATACTACCAAATACAAATAATTAATCATTTTTTTGTGAATTTAAATATGTGGTGCTGCACCTCCGTAATGTTTTCATAACTATTAATCTTATCTTTTATTGGAAAATAATTGCGTGTAACTGCTGAATGAGATTTCCTATTAAGAAAGATGCTAGTTTTAGGGGAAAACAGTTTAATTGTAGGTAATAATTAAACGTAATATTTTAAAGAAAACTTTATTCTTGACATACTGTCGAATCATTCTTTTACAGTTCAATCTCAATGTTACAATCACAATGAGGTATACTGAATAATACTCTAAAGTTGCCTTTTTAAATTAAAGTCAGTTTTGGGTCCAAATTTGTTTGAGATTTGTATAAAAATAATGCTTACAAGTGTTCAACTTTTTTTCTAATACTGTGTACTTTAGGCACACACAATACACATACGGCGGATGGTTCCTTTTGCTAAAAAATCTTTTTTCAACCCTTTAACTGTTACAAAATATATATTTGTAAGAAAACTTAAACGTCTACTGTAAATTTATAGTTAGTAATACTGTTAATGTATGCGTTTTTGTGGTTTTAAAATAAGTATTTTTTTGATCAAGAAATATTTGTTGATCAATTATTTTTTTAACAAAAGGAAGAACACATAGGTAAATAAAGAACAAAAATTAAGTAAAAGTGAACAAAACTAAGAAATATCAAACAAAACCATACACATGAATAAAAAACAGAGACAGTATATACATTATGGAATCACAATCATCAAATATCTAATAAATAACAAACACACATCACATGATACTAAATAAAAACAAGAAAAAAAAACAATACAAGTTGTAATACAGGAATCGTTTAAAAATTAACAGATAAGAGAAGAACAATATGATTACGTTCAACAAAAAATGTTTCCTTTTTATTAAAAATAAGGCACACATACCGATCGCCTAGAAAATGAAAATAATAATTAAAAAGGGGAAACACTTTACGTCGAAAAAACATGGCAAGGGCTCGACTTACTAAAATATTTTGATAATTAGAGAATTAGGACGATTTATTAACATATACATATGTACAAAAGTATAATATTTACTAATAAAAAATGTCGAAAAATCCATTAAGGAACCGAGGTACATTTTATTTGATTTTTTCGTATAATTACAAAAACAACAGCAACTGTTAAACAAACATCAGCAAGTATGAAAAATTATTTTGTTTTTTCAAGTATCTTCGTCAATAAAAACTGTATTTAAATGGAATGAAATTTTTGGAGCCCCCTTTTATATACCTAACAGTCAAATTGCTTAAAATTATCGAGGAACTAAATTTATACATTTTTGTAGTTGTACCTTCCAGTAGGAAATCCACAAAAAACGTGGATATAGGCTTATGTGACATTTACAATGTGATAGTATGTATGGTATCACTGGTGTTTAAAATTATTGATACTATCTAGCTACTACTTTGCTATAATTATTATTTAAAAATAAATAGTAAATACTTTTACTGGCATCTTTGTGACTCATCCTCTTCTGTACATACTGATATTTCGGGGGTGGTTTCGTCTTTACACCGATCGTGGTTTGTTGAACGGGTGTATGACGACGACGGGGTATCTTTAAGGAGTAAAGGTGTATGGCAGGTATTGCCATCTGCTGCTACATACGAAAGACTAGCAGTTCTTGAAGGATTCACTTTTTCACCATTACTTTCTAAAATAGGAACAGTAGTATGTTAAATAAAATTAAAGTGAAAGATTTACACTGAGTGGTCAGAAAGTAATGAAAAAAGCTGAAAAATTCTCACAGAATTCTTTAGGAATTTTACAACTTTTTGGACTTGTTGAGTTATGACTGTTGTTATAATTTACCTTCTATGATTAAGGCAAAGTCTCCTTCAGGTAGTAGATCATCACTACTTCTTTTAGCTGACTCTTCTACTCCGCTATCCTTGCAAGAAGAATGTTCGGAAGCATTATCACCAAAGTGGGGTGGATTTTTATCGGGAAATTCTATGACACCGTGGTCAGGTTGATTTGAGTTCGTTTTGTTGAAGTTAATGCGTTTTCGAGTTTGATAAATTATTATTATCACCCAAATAACCGATGTCACGACTACACAGCAAACTACTGTGATAATTACAATGCCAACCATATCACTGCTACTCATTAAACCTACGCAAAAAAAAAAACGAGTTGATTAAAAAAGACACTCGGCCTATCTAATAATGGTCCTACTTGGTTTGATATGTAGTTCACTGTAGCCAACTTTTACTCCTAAAGAATTATTTAATCGACACTGATACGTCCCAGCATCGCTCGGTATAGTGTCGATAATGATCATAAGCTGGTCTTCAGCTGTTAAGAAATATCTATCAGTTGCCCTTATTGGAACGCCATCTTTGAGCCATTGTATGGTAGGTTTTGGAGCACCACTTGCCATGCACTTAAGCACAACAGATTCTCCGGCCGCTGTTTCTTTATTTTCCATTGGTTTAACAAACGATGGCATTTCTGTAACAGCGTTATAAAAATAAGAAGAAATTCGATTAAGGGACAATACTAACCACCTTCAATGACGAGGGTAGCATTTGCCACAATCGTGCCCGCAGGATTGTGAGCCATGCAACTGTAAATGCCCATATCATTCGGTTTTGCGTTTACTATAAAGAAAACGTCATCGGTCGTCATTACATGCATTCTTCGTTCTCTAGCTGCTGGAAAATCGTTGCCACCATCTTTTTGCCATGCTATTTCTGGAGACGGCTCTCCACTTGCTGAACATTCTAATTTTGCAGTAGCTCCTGCTGATACAGTTACATTGTGAGGAATTTTCACAAACGTTGGGAAAACTGAAAATAACATACCACTATAAATTCATATTTATGGTCAATAATAGGGACAAGGCTAGATAATAAAAATTCTACGACATATTAAAGTTTTTACGCTATAATAACCTACAAATAGTTATTGCACAATATTCGTTATTCATAATAAAAGACCATGGCTACATACATGAAATGAAGTTGTTAAAAATAGAACTTACTTAATACGGAAATGGTAGATTTTTGTGAGTATGTTCTCCCAAATTTATTTGAAACAACGCATTGATATTTCCCAGCATCTAAATGTTGTACTCGGGGTATAGTCAATGTTGATGTGGTCTCTGTATTTTTATCAACTGTATTTGAGACTATTTCAATAATACCATTAATTATCTCGACATTGTTCTTTTTCCATGTAAAGACCATAGGATCAGAAGAACTTGACATTGCTTTGCAACTTAGACTAATATTTTCACCTTTTAGTGCCATTATTTCAACATCTGGTTCTTCTTTTAATCTAGGTTTTGGTAATTCATCTATAACAAATAAATAACTAGTTGTTTGTTTTCATACAAAATATATTATTAATATTTACCACAAGTAAAATTGCCTTCAGGCACTTTCTTCAACGGTAGTCCTCTGAATGGTTCTGGATATATGCATTCAGTACGGATTTCAAAACTGCTTTCTTTCAAATGTTTACTTTCTTCCAACCATCCTTTAAACCACTCTAAATTACAATCACATAGTAAAGACGAAGTGTTAATTCGTAATTCCTATGGGGAAATAATAACATTAAATAAAGTCATATTTTATTAAGCTAACAAATGTAAATTACCTGTAGCAATAGCACATCAGAAAAGGCATTTTTCTGAATAGAAGTAATATTATTATTGTTTAAATCTAAGAATACAATATTCTTTAAGCCAAAAAATGCATTTGCATTTATATCTTTTACATCATTAGAAGCCAAGGAAAGTCGATCCAGATTTATCAGGTTCCTATATACTCCATTGCCATCTTCAATAGTCCATGATAATTTATTATGACTTAATTGTCTATAACATAAACACCAACATTAACAATTATCTTATTGTTGGATATCTTTCTCTACAAGTAATACTTACAATACTTTTAGATTTGGAACTTGTTCAAAAGCTTCTTCTTCAATAAAACTAATGTTGTTGTTGTTCAAGTTCAATTTTTCAAGAATATACAAATTATTAAAGCTGTCTTTCTTAATAGCTTTTATTCTATTGAATGATAGATCTCTAAAATATTTATTTGTTTTCAGTAATATTTTGCTGCTAAAATCAATTAAGTTTAAACTTACAACTCAGTCAGGCCCTTACAAAATTCCCAGGCATCATTTTCTATATGATTAATAATATTATTAGATATTGTCAATTCCTTTAAATTATCCAAATCATACAACCATGTCTTTGATATTATTTGAATGAAGTTATAGTCGAGCATTCTTAAAAAATAATAATGATATTACTAAACAATATATCAGGCTTATTATATTTGAAGTGCATATCTAATTTACTACAAGATATGAATTTTTACAGTATAGTATTAAGTACCAAAAGGTGCAAATGTACTTTTATCTAAACTACATTAATTGAGTCAATATTATCCACCTTTAAAAGGCAAATAGTACACAAGATAATTTAATTGAAATAATAAACAGTTACTTTTCTCTGAAATATACAGTTTGAAATTATAATAGACTTAAAGGATAAAAATACAATAAAGGTTTAATGAAAATATTTGTACTTACAATGATTTTATTTTTTTTAATCCAAAAAATGCCCCATCCTTTAATTGACTTATTTTGTTTCTTTTTAGTCTCAAAGAAGTCAATTGTTCTAAATTTTTAAATGTTAGGGCTTCAATGTCCTTTATATGATTATGATTTAATTCCCTATAATATAACATTTGTTATTTACCATGAACTTACTATAAATTTCAAAGTTTTATTTACTTACAAGTTTTTTAGGCGTTTTTGATTATCAAATACCTCTTTGGCAATGACATTTATTTTATTCTTGTTAAGTTTTAATTCACTTAACTTAGTCAAATGTTCTAAGGCATCCTTTTTAAGTATTCGAATTCTGTTACTATTTAAATTCCTACACAACAGAAACAAAAGCTGAAGAAATGCTGGGATAATAGTATAATGTTACTTAAAAAATAGTTATTGAATTTAAATATCTAAAGAATAGTTTTATATAAATCCAAAACTAAACAGGTGTATTATAACCAAGTAAATAATGCAACTTACAGCTGAGAAGTCCAATTGGGAATATTTAAAGGAACTAGCGGTAAATTCTTTTGCGAACAGTCCACGTAATTACCGAGGCATGTACAAATCGTTGGGCAATTTTCGGCGGAATCCACAAAACCATATAAATTATAAATAACTATTATCAAATAAAATACACCCACCATTTTGAAAAGACAGGTTCAATTATCCATGATTTTTTGTACGAGAAACGACATTTCGGGAATGTTTTAACGACATTTTTAAACTAAATACAGAGTATCACACAATAATAAAATAACAAGCACTTTAGCAGGATGTTTATTGGCAATTTGCAGTTATTTTTTCTTCGATTACAACATACTGACGCATAACAACGACAACACCAATACCATTAATAAATTTGTCAGACTATGTACGCGATATCTATGGGCCACTAATAAAATAAGTCTGAGTAGAAAAATTTCTTGAAACTTCCAACGTCGTAGTTTTAGATAGTTATGAGAGAGGGCGACATGAGTCCTAGAAATTCGAAATTATTCAAATAAAGCGCTAAAAAATATGATTTAACAAAATAAGTAGGAAAGTAGTGTAAATTGTTATTTTATAATATTTTTTAAAATTAAATAACATCCTTTTATTTTATACTGTTAAATGTAACGTTTAGTTTAAATATCAGTATTTAACAATTTAAATTGAAGCTGTTAAAAAGTTAAACATTAAGGCAATAGGCAATTAGTAAACATTAACAAATGCTTAATAATTTACTTAATTTTTATTTGATATCGGTTTACGCACATGCATTTTACAATAACTAAAAGGAATTATAAATAGAAATCTATATATAAATTGTGTAGGTAAATATTTTCTTTAATAAACAATGATTTGTTAATTTTAGTTTATTGGGGGTTTATATAAATAATACATTATACAATTCTTATTATTAATACAAAAATCAACCCATGATTGTGTTTATTAGTAAATTGTGTTAAGTGTTAAATCAACATGTTTTTACCTTTTTTTGTTTATTGTTAAGCAATTTCTTCTTAATTTCTCAATCATGTCGAATCTATTACTTGCGAAGAGGAAAACAGCTTATTGATTTTTAGAGAACATTTTCTGTTATTACGACCATTAACGAAAAACATATTATTAAGTTTTGATCATTATGGAGTAACAACCGTTATTTGTGCAAGTATTTGGTAAAATGTTATTGTTATTCTTTGTCATAGGATTTTGTAATGCTGCAAAATAAGCCTTTTGCTTAACATGTTTAGCAATCAAGTCTTTTGCTTATAACATCAATCTTCTTTATTTTTTCAAGATTCAAAACTGTTAAAAAAATCGAAAAACTTATGCAATAGAAAGTGCCCGAAACTAGACACGAAATATTAACGATTTATTTTTTTGTAAATTAAACAGAAAAGGTATTTGAAGTTTCGCACAGGACATGAGGTAATTGTGTATTCTTTTGTTCTAGAAAATTGTTTTTGACGCAAATGATTAGATGAATATACATATACACACAAGAATAAGGAAAAACATCAAACAACCTTGGGCCAGTGTGATTTAGCAAATACCTAGCTATTCCTTGTATTTAGCTGTTTCGTTTATTTTTATTATTACTATTAAAAAGCCATTAATAATTTTCGACATAGGTAAATAATGAATTAACGTCATGATCTTTTTTATTTTAAACCTTTGCTACCATAAAAATAAAGTAACTCTTGCAAAAATTAAGGCATGGGTAACTCCGGGTATAATAATATACGATAACTATGTTCTAGAATATTCCGGACATAAATTAAAGTATCCGGATATATTCAAACATTATTTGATATTTTTTATGAGGTTTTAATCGCTATAATTTCTGTTATCTTTTCCAATAAAAGTAACATTAGGTACCATGACCACGAAATTTGGCAGTGCATTTTAAATAATTAACATAAAGGCATTACAGTATTATTCCCCAGGTGGTATTGAATATTTTATGTCAGTCACATTTACCGAACTTGACCTACACTATTACTATTAGAAAACGTTGTGTGCACATGTTTCGAGGATTTTTTCTAAAACGGTTAAAATAAATAGCATTCGCAGTTGGCGTAAACATACAACAACCTTAAATAAAAGATATATTAATTAATTATCCTTAAATTAACAGGAATTACAGACAGACTTTATTATCTATTAAATTCATTTATACCTAATTATAAAATCTTCTTTGTGACAGATAAAATAAGGCACGCCAATTTGATAGCAGAAATAACAATAACATGTTTTTTATGCTAATTAGTGTTTTCTTTTTGATACTCATAATATTTCTGTGGGGGAAAAACTGACAAAGAATAGCGAAAGCAGTATTTATTTAGTTTAAAAAACCCACTCTGAAAAAGACTCGTAACAAGAGTCGGTTTTGCAATAAAATAATTCAATCACTAGTTAAAGTTTTGTTTTTTAAGTATAAAAAGTTAGTAGACACATATTACATATTACGTTTGCAATTATTGAATACAAATTGTAGGATAATTTGTGCTTCAATTTAATCTCATACAGGAAACAATGAATTACGCGTAAAAAAATTAATGCTTTATATTGCAGGGTTCGGCTATTAATTTTTTTAGTAGGTATGTCTTTCTGTTAATGATACAAAACTGCTTTCAATAAACGTAAATGCAGATTGCAAATCTAACAATAGAACTAGTATTATGCATAATGATGTAATGAGAGGAATTTTGTTTGTAGTTACATACGTAGATATTCCTAGAAAAAGTTGTACTTTTCCATTTATTTATTATAATTCATAAATAAGGATTATACCGCTCTTTATTATTATAAAACGAAAATAACTTTTAGAATATTTGCTTATTAACAAACGGACTCTTTTCCTTTTTTTTGTTACAAAATATTAAATGATTTTTATGAAGAATAATTGGTAACTTGTTTGTTTTCAAAATTTATATATTCATAACGAGCTTTTTTAATTAATGGAAATTCCGATAGTTTCTATTGTTCGTATTAAAATTTCATAGTTGTTATTGTTTTTTTTTTCCGATTGAAAAGATTTAAACCTATTGAACTTTGTGGAATTTTAATTTGAAGGGGAAACAGTGAACTTGAGTTCAATTAAATTCCATTATATACGATCATTAATGAATTAAATTACAAAATATCCGCTCTAGTTTTATGAAATCGGCTATTTTTATGCAACTAATATGTTATCTAATATGCACTAAGTGATTTACATCAGGAGAAATGAGAAAGGTGGAATTACGATATGCGTAGATTATTGATTAGGGGCCTATTATTGAAAGCTTATTAAGTTTTGTTTTCGTTTTTTTGAAAGCTTTTAAACTGTTAAAATTTAACGCGAATAAGGCGAACGATGCACATGCGATAAGTTTAATGACTTGTATTGAAAAATATTTGGGTGTAGTGAGTGTTTTTATTAGAGTAAAGAGTTTTGGAGGTTTAAGTAGCATTTATGATATACATGAGTACGTAGGTTATTGATTAGGGGTCTATTACTGAAAGCTTATTAAGTTTTGTTTCTCTTTTTGGAAAGCTATTAAATTGATAAATTGTAATGAGAATAAGACGAGGGATGGACATGCGATAAGTTTAACGACTTCTATTAAAAAATATTTATGTTTAGTGAGTGTTTTTATTAGATTAAAGAGTTTGGGAGTTGCATATAGTCGGATGGGTGAATAATAAATAATAAATAGTAAATTTATAAGTCGTGTGTTTGACCTAGCCAATAAGAAGCCAGAATTATGGCCTGACTCTCTGTTCTCTAAAGTGCATGTCAGGGATTTGAAAGCAGGCGCAATATTAAATGAAAATCTTAACAGGATAGAGAAAATCCATAAGCATTTGTAGACCTTTTCTGATAGTGAAAAGTGCATTAAGCAATTAATGAGCTTGATAATCAATAGGAAAATTTTAAAACAATTCAAAAATCACGAAACTAGTGAGTGGTTTCGTTCGTTAATGTTCGAACTCCGAGCCCCACTTCTCGGGTGCGTATAAAATGGCTTGTATATAGATGACAATACAGTAGATTCGTGTAGACGTTTGTATGTGCAGTGAGTATTTGTGAATTTTGTGCAAAACCATTTGGATTAATTAAACAACGAAGATTTAAGGATGAATACCTATGATAACAGAGACATGGAAGATATGAGGTAAGTTTAATTACAAATGATAATCGGGAATTAATTAAAAATAAGTAGGGCGTGTGTGATAGGTTCATCAAAAATTTTTATGACTAACTTTCAGAGAAAACTTTTGCTAATCTTGTCTAATAACATACTGAACCATGATCAAAAATAGATTATTAGGCTATTACAATTTAAGTTACTAGTGAAAGTTTATGAACAAATAATTGTACCTATAAACTTCTTATTAGAAATTCTACTTGTTTAGTTACCTTGTTTTTTATTATGCAATTTTAAGTATGTCATGTTCTTATTCTTAATAGGATAAAGCGGACAAAATTTAACTCATTAAATTTTTATAAGTGGTCTTCTTTTTAGTTACCACATATTCATAAAATCCAGTCTAAGTAAAGTACTTCTAAAAAATTATTCTTATGTTTATTTTCTTATTGTTTCAGAACATATTTACGCCGCTTTAATCGTCATGATAATGTTGAATTTTCACAACAGAGCATTTTGAGTGCAATAGGGGAATTAGTGAAAGCTATTAATTTGATGGATGAGACGATTTTGGTCCCATGCAGATTGATGGATCTGAAAGTGGGGGATGAACAAGATCCCACATCAAAAAATCAAAACTCCAAATCAAAAACAACAACACAAGAGTTGTTACATTCAGCAGATCTGATAGATGTGTACAATATGTTGAACAGTATTAAGGTAGATCTGCTGTGGGGCCAGAACATGGAAGAGAAAACTACCTCAGCCAAACAGGGCTTCAATAATTATTGTGTTATTAGTAATAATAGTCAAAATGCGAAGGGTCACGCTCGTAGGCCATCAACAGCTAGCGTAGCATCTACAAATTCATCTTCATCTCTCAGCAGCGATTCTGAGTTAGATATTGGGATTGAGAATGATTCAGGAATAGAGGAACCACTCCAAGTGCAAGATAAGACTGCTGCTTTGGCCCAGAGCTTTAGAAATCATCTTAAGGGACTAACTCATTGCCTGAGACAATTGACAGAAGCCTCTGAATATTTAACATCCCGTTATCAGCACGATATAGGGAATCCGCTATGATTTGCACTTGGAAAAATGTGTGATTGTGAGAGTGAGTGTAGGTAAATTACTATTCTAGGCTTAGTAATGATATCAATTTGTTACTGATCAGTGATAACATGTATCTGGATATGTGTTATTGTCGATTTCCGAAGCCAACACGCTGATTGTTATTATAATTATTATTTAGCTAGTTAAAATTGTATTTATTTTTATTTTACATGTGTTTTAGTTTTAAATAAATGGTTCAGAATGAATTACTGTATAGTGCCTATTTATTGAATAAAATTCGTCTATACTACTAGGTATTTTAGTTTCTCTTTGTTGATATGCTNTATGTGACATTTACAATGTGATAGTATGTATGGTATCACTGGTGTTTAAAATTATTGATACTATCTAGCTACTACTTTGCTATAATTATTATTTAGCTAGTTAAAATTGTATTTATTTTTATTTTACATGTGTTTTAGTTTTAAATAAATGGTTCAGAATGAATTACTGTATAGTGCCTATTTATTGAATAAAATTCGTCTATACTACTAGGTATTTTAGTTTCTCTTTGTTGATATGCTGGGTACTTGAAGTGTAGTTGATAAATTGCATGTTGATTGGTGTAAGGAAGTATAGGTACTCTTGAAAATAAATATTTTTGTAACACATTCAGTATGTGTATACAGTGTAAGACAACCTGCAGTTTATTCGTTGCATTAATTACTGGCTTAAAGCTGTGAATAAGTACTTTCAAAAATGTACAAAATTACTACTTATCATTATTATGCGAGGGTAGGAATGAAGATCTTGTGACCACAAATTAGATACAGACAATATTATTTCTGGGATTTTTTGTTGGGATTTCCCTCATCAGACATGCTCATGGAAAGTTTCAAATACAATTTTATATGTATAAAACAACGAAATGTTCCAGATAGGTATATTTTCTGTACTTAATTTTTGCTGATCAAAATCTTCATTCATACACTACGCATAAAATTTCGTTAGCGAAAGTGGATAACTACTTATTAATTATTATTATTGTGTGTAGTACTGGAAACTCCTAAATTTGTACAAATTCATGGTTAATTGAATATTAATAAACTTATTTAAAAGATAAAAATTTGGCCCGTTATTTTTATCATTTAAAAGTGATATGTTATCACATTTTATTATGGTGTGATGTAATGAGCTATTCATTGTCTTATCACCTGCGTTACGCTTATTAAAGAATATTTTCCTTATAACACAGTACGGGTAGACTTAAAGTTCGGTTGAAAACAAATGTGAGAAATAAACTCGACCTGGTCTCTATATTTATTTATTTTAAAATTTGTAAATACCATGAATACGCAAAAATTGTTTACAAGGTCATTTATTGATGTCAAGGCCAGTGATAAAATTAATAACTTCATTTTCCGGCTTTTACCTTCCAACACAATTATTTTCTTTTCCTTTTACCACGTGTGGTCTCTCAAAAGTTTACTGAAACTGTACTCAGTCTTGCGTGCTTTACTTCATCAAAATAATTGAAAATAAACAAATAAATGGCTTCAGGATCATGAATATTCGTTCGAAGTATCGAAAATGAGGGCCCAGACAATATTTTTCAGTGAAGGCTTACAATGTGATAATGTTGAATCCATTAATCTACCAAGTTTTTTTTATTCAATGCTGAAAACTACTAAAAGAAAATTATTAGGGGCCCGTAATGTGTGTCCAACTCGATGCTGCATTATTTTAATAACCCATTTATAAAAAAATTAAAATTATGTTGTACCAAAACAAAAATTTAGTGAAAACAGAACAAAATGTTTGAAATAATTAAATTATTTATCCATAAGGTCCTGGAGTGCAGCCTCCCTCCTAAATCCGCCTTCTAAAGGCTGCACTGATTGTATTTGTTAAATTATGTTGTTTGTATTCAAATTTTCGAAAACAGCTTTACGATTAGTGCCGTAAAAATTCTTGTTTTAACCGTTTGAATACTGTTAAAAAATTCGATGGGATTTTCCATCGTCAGCTTACCATTAGGTATGCAAGGATATCTTTGAAACTGGCTTAACAACTTTTAAGCCAAACTTATTAAGTACTAGTTACATTCCTGTAAGTACCTATGTACGCAAGTGATTCACCTGATTATCGTAAAGTAGAAGTGAAATAAAAAATTATTTCACCTTTGTTTATACATAACTAAATTTATCATTTGGGTTTTTCACGTTTTGAACAAATGTAATTTTCGTGTCTCTTTTGTCTGATCAAGATATGAATTTGTTGTAGATAATATCGATTCATTATCGTGTAGTCTGCTGTTGATTTTGAACTAAATATGATTAATATGAAATATCTAATTTTGAAATCAACTGGCTTAATGTAATTTATTTCCGGTTTTGATTTGGATAAACTAGAAAAAGATTGTTTACAGTACAATCTAAAATAGTGCTTCAAATGATTTATATGTTGAAGGGATTTTGCAAAATTCGACATTTTAGGATGTACGACACCTGTACTAGTGGGGTAAAAATAACCAAACACAAGAAAATTCTATTTTATGGAATCATCATGTAGTTAATATTAAGTATAAGTTTTTTAAAGTTTTTGGGGGTTGCTACTCCTTGTCTAAAATATTTTGTGTGTTCGGTTAGTTTAGGATAGTTTTCAAATAAGTAGGTGACTTTTAGATAGACATGGTTAAAAATTGTATTCTATACGCGATAAAAAGAAAAAATGCTTACAAAGAAATATGTAATTTCTATGTTCGATGAATGTTTTGCTTTGCCTGTATAATCTACTATTCATTTATAATTTACTGCTGCCTAGCCGTTTTAGAAAATGTCAGGACTTTTCAGACGTACATATCGGTACATACTTTATATCAGAAGAGAAAGCATAACTTTGATAACATTATGCAATGGATTTGTGATGCAATTAAAAAATATGTACAGCAGGTACTTGTTAAAAGTTGAATATTTATATTATTCGTTGGCGTTGACGTCCTAAATACATGTCAAAGATCATCGATGACCACATAAAAGTAATTTTTCTATCGAGAACAGCATTTTTTCTTCTGGATAAAAGATTCCCTATGTCCTTTTCTGCACTCCTGACAATATCCCTACAAAATTTCATGATGATCGATCTAGTAGTTAAGGCGTAAAATCGACCAGATGAAACTAATTCTTCTATCCTTCGCAAACAGTTTTTTTTTTTCTGGATAAAAGGTATCCTACGTCCTTTTTTGTACCCCTGACAGTGTACAAAATTTCGTGATGATCGATAGAATAGTTCAGGTGTAAAATCGATCAGATAAAACAAATTTTTTTAACCTTCAGAAACAGTATTTTTTCTGGATAAAAGGTATCCTATGTTCTTTTTTGTACCCCTGACAATGTGTCTACAAAATTTCATGATGATTAATGGAGTAGTTGAGGCGTGAAATCGACCAGATAAAGTTAATTGTTTTTATGCTTCAGAAACAGTATTTTTTTCTGGATAAAAGGTACTCTATGTCCTTTTTTTGTACCCCTGACAGTGTGTACAAAATTTCGTGATGATCGATCTAATAGTTAAGGCGTGAAATCGACCAAATAAAACTAATTTTTTATCTTTCGGGAACAGTATTTTATTTCCGGAAAAAAGGTATCCTATGTTCTTTTTTGTACCCCGGACGATATGTCTATAAAATTTCATGATAATCGATCGAGTAGTTAGGGAGTGAAATCGACCATATAAAACTAATTTTTCTATCCTTGGGAAACAGTATTTTATTTCTGGATAAAAGGTATCCTATGTTCTTTTTTGTAGCCCTGACAGTGTGTACAAAATTTCGTGATGACCGATCTAATAGTTAAGGAGTGAAATCGACCAAATAAAACTAATTTTTTATCTTTCGGAAACAGTATTTTTTTTCTGGATAAAAAGTACCCTATGTCCTTCTTTGTACCCCGGAAAATATGTCTATAAAATTTCATGATGATGGATCGAGTAGTTAAGGCGTAAAATCGACTAGATAAAACTAATTTTTCTATCCTTTGGAAAGAGTATTTTTTTTCTGGATAAATGGTATCCTATGTCCTTTTTTGTATCCCTAGCAATGTGTGTATAAAATTTCATAACGATCGGTTGAGTAGTTGAGGCGTGAAAAGCTGACAAACAAACTCACATTCGCATTGATAATATTAGTTACTATAAGATTATTAATTAATCGAACTCTCAAAATTATTTAAACAAAACGTAACACTTATCGATAGTTTAAAACTGAATTTGTTGGATTTACCTAAATCGTACCTATGATATATTACTTTATTATTTTCCTACACAAAATCGGATTTTTCAAATGATGGTGCTGCCTTTTACTGTACGGTTCTTAAGATACAAGATATAATGACATAGAGATTTAATTACTATTAATTGGCGTACATTACTACAAATCCAAAATGTAAATATTAACTATTTTATCTTTGACTTGAAAAAAATATTATTAAGGTTATCAAACAAATAGACAATGTCTTATGTTTTCATTTAAACATTGAATTGGGATATCTATTTATTGTTTTAAGCGTAGCGTCAGCGTGTCTGTTGATAATTTACAGATTGAATTTTAATCGGTAGTCACCCGACACGCGTTTATTTATTTTGGTTACTTCTTCTGTACGTGTAGCATGCGATGATCAAGTGTTATAACTAATTTATGTGTTTGCCCCTGCGGCTAATCGTAAGCCATTGATAGAAGAATTCTTAAAGAAGTAAATTTTCCACTAAGCAATCAGGTTTTTTCCAAATGCCATATTTATGAAATTAATGAGCCCTATTACCATTTTATTAAAGTTGTTATTGCTTATTACATTTTAATTTTAATCAAAATAAATTAATCAATAATACGGCGGAGTGTTTAACTTTTTTGCGTTAGTTAATCGACACTAACTCTTGACGTATGTCGTATTTATGTGTTTGCCCCTACGGATAATCGTAAGCCATTGATAAAAGAATTCTTAAAGAAGTAAATTTTCCACTAAGTAATCAGTTTTTTTCCAAATATCATACTTGTCAAATTAATGAGCCTTATTACGATTCTATTAAAGTTGTTATTGCTTTTTACATTTTAATTTTAATCAAAATAAATTAATCAATAATACGGCGGAGTGTTTAACTTTTTTGCGTTAGTTAATCGACACTAACTCTTGACGTATGTCGTATTTATGTGTTTGCCCCTACGGATAATCGTAAGCCATTGATAAAAGAATTCTTAAAGAAGTAAATTTTCCACTAAGTAATCAGTTTTTTTCCAAATATCATACTTGTCAAATTAATGA